TGGACCTCCGAATGCAAACTAATCGGGTTGATTTGAAAGTGATGTGAATAAAAACTACTAATAATCCTCGCATTTGACATAGCGCCCGATCACGTTCTTCGAGACGTCTCAAAGCGCTTCACAGAATATACTGTGAAGCGAGTCGACTGTAATTTTTCGGTGGAACGCGGCAGGCGATTGGGCCCAGCAGTGGGTTGGGTGATCAAATTATTATTTATTTATAAACTTTATTTTGAAGGATTATCCCCGGAAAAGCGATCTGCCAATCGACTAACGACCGGGTTCTTACTTGCCGCTGGGTAAGCAGAGGGGTGTGGAGCAAGGAATTTTGCCCAATGTTTCGTCCTGCGTGGGAATCAAACCCAGGTCCTCCCGCTTGCGAGGCGAGAGCTCTTAAGCACTTAATGAGCCACAGGACTACACAAAGAAATCCCAAATCCTCCGCCTCCCAATCGGGCGTCAGGTTTCCGCTACAATTTCAGCACGACAAAACCAGGAGGACGAGGCAATGCTTTTGTTCAGAACTAAGGACGCGATCATCGTGGTAACCTCTAAACACAAGGTGATGATATCGTCTGAATTCCTGCAGCGTAAAAGTATTTTGCACGGATCACGTGGCTTTGAGTTCTATCAGAAACAGTTTAGCAGAAAACTTATCAGCAACAATGCATCGCGTCCAGAAAGCTCCAGACGCGTTGCCTATTTAAAAGGCCTTTTAAAGAGTCGCGAGCTCAGCACTCCTTTGTGTGCATGAACAGTCGGATAAAATTGATTTGATCCTCAGCTAAAAAAGACAAGAGAATTTTAAACGTGAACTTTTTTTTTTATTGACTTTACATTGAATCTGCTCCCGTATCCGAGTGCTTTCAGTTTCGTTTGTCTCCCTTTACTGCTATAGTAGTCAACGACACACAATTCAAAGCTATCCCCTACGCAGGAATATCTTAACAATGGACATTGGAGGGAAAATACACCTCGCGAGAAGCGTATACAAATAGCATTCTTTTTTTTTTTGAAAAAAAATGTGCACCGACTGCACCGTTTGAGATAAATTGTTCCGTCAGTTCGGTTTAATTATGACAGAAGACTCCTGTTTTTTTTTCAGTACTCTGCCAATTTTTTTCCCCCCCCCTTTCACTTTTGTACTTACTCCATAGTGCAAGAAATGGCAAGGATCCTTGCTTCCATTTGAATGAGATTTTTGTGCCATGGATGCTTTGTGAGCTCTGTTCAGCTCGTGTTAAGCGATCAAATTCAGTGCGTGAATCAATCGCAAATTGACTGTAATTCAGGATAAAAAAATCCTAACAAGCTGAAGAGGTGCACAAAATGAGCCCCATTCTTAAACAAAATATAGAAAACGAACCCAAAAGCAACTGCCTTAATTCTTTGGTGTTTTTTTTTTTGGACAGATACGTCCAATGCAGGTTAAAAACCAGTACCTAAACCTACATAACATTCGCTCTTCTTTAATATATCACAATCGTTTACAAGCGTTAAGTTACTGCCACTGATATCTTTCGGCTTAATCAAAGCATCGCCAAAATAGGCCACTGTATTTATTCTAGATTGTATAAACATTAATTTCTTTTTAAATAAGTTACAGAGTTTTCAGACGCTGTATTGAAATATATTACCTAAAATGGCTGTAACATGTACAGTAGATAGCGTAGATCTAAATCTTTAAAATATACACACAGTTGTTAAAGGCTTGGGTTAGGCGAACATAGCAGGATATTGGTCTTTTGTAAATTAAACAACAGTGTTTATAATAGTTCAAATAGATACAGGTGCAAGAAAACACATCATATCTCAGTGTTTTCACCTGCATGTTATTCCTCTGATTAGGAAAAAGACATTAATAATAATAAGAATAATCCTTGCATTAGATACGGCGCCTTATCTCGTGTTCGAGACGTTTCAAAGCTCTTCACAAAATATACTGCAAAGTGAATTGACTGTATATTTTGTGGGCGAAGCCTAAATAAGATATGATGCACATTAAAATGGAATGTGCAATTTTAACATATCCAAATGACGGGCCCGTACAGAAGATACCAACAGCATTAGCTTCTCTGCAACTAACATGTACGTCCATAGCAAACCCTAATTTAAACTGGTCCTCAATATTTCTTGCATAGCGACATTAACGTTAGGCTAATGAAATTCCACCATTTAAACGTACTTGCCGAGCAAACAATTAAACCTTTCATGGTTGTTAAGCAGACATCTTGGAGGCAAGTAGCTGCATTGAGTGAGTGTACAATACCTGGCTGTTTAGCATATCTGCCACTTCCCCACAACACAAATATATTTTGGGGGCACAATGTCAGACATATTAAATTGAATGGTGAGAAGAATCACTCACTGCTCTTAAATTAGCAATGTGTAATGCTAATACCATTTATTAGCCTGGTTTGAAATGTTTCTCTCAACAATGCTGTTTTAATAACGTAACAGCTTGTGATTAATTACAGAGGAAGCTTCTTTTTTTTTGAATAAAAACTAGGTACTCAACTACATTTATAAAATATACATGCTCCCATATGCCCAAATGTCTTAGCCATGGATTGATTTTGTTTTATCCACAGAAAAAAACCCAATCAATTTCATTGAAACACAGGCACGGGTTTAATTGAGGCAATTCTGTAGGGAAAGAGCACCTTTATAGTGTGGCTTTAGCAGAAGCTTTGCAGTTAGAAAATGGCACATGTTGCTAATGTCACTAGGGTTGCTGATTTAAAAGGTGCAAAATGATAATTATGGAATGCGTTATGAAAATCTTCTCTATTCCTTTTACAATCAAACAACAGTTGGCCTTCATACATATACATATGTGTCACGTTATATACATCTTTAACATCTGGCTAATTGTAGAAAATAAGCTTCATCGTATATAGAATTTCTACGTGAATTCCTTAACAGACGTTTCGTAGATAAAAACGGTGATGTTAAATTTGCCATTTTGCAGCAGTTGAGATCACATTTCAGTCTATTTGAATAAAAGGCCACTTCATGTTAAAAATTTAAGGATGCGTATTTTGGTAAACACTTTCATTTTCAATTAATTCGTTTGAAAGGTGTATATTAAGACAGAAGTAACCCTAATAAGAGTCCTTGAACAGGCACTTCTCTTTCGAAGTTTACTTAATTTACACGATTTCAGTTTCAGTTGCATTCAGTAAAAACCCAGTTTGACCTAAAATTTTCTTTTGGGGTATTTAAATGCATCATAATCGACTTTCTTTTAACAAAAAGTGCAAATTAATATGGAAATGGGAGATTTTTGTCAATGGGATTAGACTGCAGAATGAGAATTCAAATCTTTGCACTCTATATATTATATATTGCCCAAAAATATAGCCAATTCTCTTTACAGTATATCCTGTGAGGCGCTTTGAGACGTCTCGAAGATGTGATAAGGCGCTATATCAAATGCAAGGATTATTATTATTATTATTGCGCCACGTGCAATGTACTGCTAAGCCTTGTGTAGCTGCAGGTGGAGAGAGGAAATTACAGGTGCATTTAATTATGTAATTAAACCCATTCAAATATTTATCATCTAATCTTCTGATAGCTTTTAATTACCTAATTGCAATGTACATGTGTTCACACGTCACGTGTGATATAGATGTGGTCAAAGGTAGCACAAAAGGCTGCACCTTTTCAAATCTGATTTTTTAAAAAAGTTTGGCAGACTCGCCAATTCAGAACACCACGTACGGCTCGGATTAAATGTTAGAAGTGACGAATAAAATAAACAGGAGCAGAAACTCCCCAACTCCCCCGCCCTCACCCCAACCGGCCAGGAACTTTGCATAATTTTGTTTTATCAACAGATTGAATGCAGATCTCCTGCTCTGTAGCAAAATAGCACATCAGAAACATATGCTTATCTAGAATTCACATAGAAAGCGCATATCACGTATTATGTCAGGAACAGACATTCAGTCAATGAAGTACCATCAACAAGGCCCAATTTGGGGTTTCCTTTGTCCTTTACCGTACGCCAGTATTTTTACACCACAGATGTTTTGAAAGCATAAAATGTAGAGGTAGCCCCATACTACGTTTATGGGACTACATGAGCATGATTGTCATGAGGGTAATTTCCTCAACTTGTCATTTAATATCTCAGACCAACAAATTGCTCGCTGATTTGCAGATGAGCAAAAGTTAGCAATTAATTCTAGACAAAAACTCACCCACAGCCTTCTTTAAACACAGCCAAATGTTTGTGTGTGGAAGGTGAATGGCATTTTGGCAGATTATCCAAGCTCCCTTTGTGCTCCTGTATCTTTTACGATCACTTGAGTGGCTTCTATAATAATAATCCTTGCTTTTGATACAGCGCCTTATCACGTCTACGAGACGTCTCAAAGCGCTTCACAGAATATACTGTAAAGTGAATTGACTGTATGTTGTCGGTGAAACGTGGCAGCCGACTGCAGTGCATCACAAACAGTCGTGGATTGAGTGACCAAATTATTATGTTTCACAATTATTATATCTTTTTAAAGGGATTATTACTCCTGGAAAAGCGATCGCTGATCGACTAACAAACGGGTTCCTACTTACTGCTAGGTAAATAAAGGCGTGTGGAGTAAGGAAACTTGCCTAACATTTCTCCCTGCATGGGAATCGAACCCAGGTCCTCTTGCTTGCAAGGTGAGTGCTCTTACCACTGTGCTGCAGGATTACAGGTCTCCATTCTGGCAGAAACCTGAGCAGAAAGAGTTAAGCAAACCTAATCCCTGCAACATGTGGTTTCTGGTGTTCCCAGTGCAGTGGGTGTTGCCAAGAAACTGTAACCACCACATTGTCGTTAATATTGAACGAGTGCCTGTTGTGGGGAATTCTAGATATTTTGAAGGTGTACTAATATAAAACACAAATCTCCAAAAGATTATTTTTAAAATTAAAGATAAGGAAAAACTCCAACCTCCAAATATTCAACCCATTGAATGCTTTTCCACAATCGAGTTTCTCAATTTATATAAAGAGTAAAAAAAACATTTATTGTGCAGATTAAATCAGAAAACAATTGGTGCTAGATGCGTTCTGTAAGATAACCGCAGCCTTGAGTTTATCTTTTTAAGTTTATGTGACACGTACTCAGCCAGTAGATACAATTCATCTCAATGCTGAAGGCCGTAGCGTTTCCTGTATTTTGCTTCAAAGTATAAATAACAGTGGTGCGTAAATTCTGCTTGCAAACAACTCTACGCCCATATTCCACAGCACAATAGTCTCACTTCAAATCGTCAAATCATTTGACATTTATGATAGGTCACACAGTCCTTCCTGAACCTCGCTTCTCCTTTTACATATAAAATATTACACTATTTTTAAAATAATTTATATGATACCAGTGTCAGCAACTATTTTACACATCTGTCTTTAAAATTTTATCCCCGTGAGGGAATGTGTGTGGAGGTGGGGAGAAGAGACAAAGAGAAACCTCACTTAATTACTGACATTTCTGATTGCTTCTGAACTTTAGTGAGCAGGTTATATGTGCCAGCAGAGCACTCCCCGACTCCCCAGTTCAACAAATCAAAGAGCGTAGTGATAACACAGTGAAGTATTCCCTACAAAACACAAGTCAAGAACTCTTTCTTAACAAAATCGTGAAGAAGACATTGATCGAAACGGAGGAACGTTGTGTGAACTGAACACCAGTATTGTGCAGGAGTGTTGACCGAATGAAGTGGAGTTTGACAGAGTCAAAAAAACAGTATATCCCAAAAAAGGGGCATCACACTTTCTTCTTCTGTGGGTTCCAATGTGTGCGCGTAAGCTACTGTTTTTAGTAAGATAGGATTTTCATGTTCGACTTGGTAAGGCGAGAAAGCCCATCAAACAATGAATCCTTAACCAAAAAAATTGTACAGCTGCTATGATTCTCTGATGTTAGGATATCTTCCCATTGATATTCACAACTCAGGTTGAAGTGGTTCAGATCTATTCATTCCTTCATTATGTGCCGATTGGTGACCATCTACAACTCTGTTGTTATCTAACTTTGCTGTAGTATGCACCTTGTTGCAGAGAGAGAGAGAGAAAAAGAAAAAGTCCGCTTTGCAGTTCCGCAACTTCATTTTGATGAAACTACCTCTGTGAACAGCAAATAGAAAAAAATTGCTCACAAGATAGTCTGTATGGCTGGCGTGGATAGATGAATACCTGGCTCTTGTGTTAAATCTCAACATATTGATCCAGTGTTCATTAATTAGAGGGCAGACTAGGATAAGACAACTCTATCAGTTGGCGAATTGTGCATAGAAAGCGATTTTAACTCTTTCAATGTGATGACACAGTTTGATAGCAGGGCCAAGTTTGAGTTCCATACATTCTTGGACTGTTGGCAGTGTCAGGAGAAGTAGTGCCTGACCATCAATGTCCTGGTGGTTAAAAATAAATAAATATTACAAACTTAATCCTTGTATTGAATATAATAATCCTTGCATTTGATGTAGCGCCTTCACGTCGTCGAGACGACTCAAAGCTCTTCACAGAATATCCTGTAAAGTGGATTCACTGTATATTCTGTGGACGAAACGCAGCAACCAATTGCCTACAGCAGTGTCCCATAAACAGTCATGAATTGAGTGACCAGATTATTATTTATTTTTTGGGAGGGATTATTACCACCGGAAAGCGATCCGCCAATCGACTAATAACCGGGTTCCTGCTTGCTGCTTGGAGAACAGAGGCGTGTGGAGTAAAGAAACTTTCCTAAGGCATCGCCCTGTATTTTGTGGGCGAAGCGTGATTCAATAATTCAATTCTACATGTGTCACTGAAAATAAAGCCTTGCTGATCCATCATAATTCATTAGCAGCAGCTTTCTGTATCAACACAATGCATGCCATTTTCTTTCTCAATCTATTTCAATTACAATTATGCCGTGTGGCCTAATTTATTACGACGTCTCAATTGTGGATCTCTAACAGAACTATAAAACCGACTGAAAAACAAATTTATGCTACACTTCTTTTCCAATCTACACCTGAGGCCACCTGAACACAAGCACCAAAAAAAAGGAGCAGTAATGCCTGTTACATTATATTTACTGAGGTCAACGTGATCTTGTGCTGATAATGTCCCTGAATGTATGTCATTGCTATTAACTGCAGGAATATGCTGTTTAAACTGCCAACAATGCTTAATGGGCTTTAAGCAGGGAATCACAATGAGAAATTATTTTGGCTGCTTTTTTAAAAAAAACATTTTTGGAGTCATTTGCACTGGTTCTCTTGAACACAATTGATTCATGCTAGGAGGGAACATGATGTTCTACTAATTAAATAGTAGTTCTTAATATTGCTTGTTTGCCAGAGATACAGTCTTAAGCAGCATTTTATCCAAACAGATTGCTAACATATTCTTTACAGTAATGAAGTGGGGGAAAAAAAAAATGCTGGTGCTAAAAACCTCTCTTCCATGAGACGTCGCTATATTTCAAATTATGGCAAATGAGATCTAGATGGAGTTAAATGATATTGATTAACTTTTAAGTCAAGTCACTTTATCACAGGCTGGTTTTACAGCATTTGTGATGCAACCTCAATCAATAATCTGTTGGGTTTTATAGGCTTCAAAAGCAGTCAGTCAAAGCTCATGTGCAACCACTGAAAAACACTTGTTTAAAAATACTGTGCTAACTTTCCAGCATGGATGAAGGGACAGTGAGGGATAGGACAGAATACACACTCAATAATTCTATGTAAATCAGGAGTTTCTAGCTCCAGGTTCTCGCTAATTAGTATTTCCATATTTAATAAACTGCATGATATTGGAATAATCTCTGAGCAGAAATGGTGTGCTCATGCACCCATAAATAATTTGGTCACTCAATCTACTGTCCAACTCGCTCACTATAAAATACTTTATCTTACATGAGAGCCATAAAAATGCAATATATTATTGGACACCGCTACCTCCTTCTGACCAATCTTAACATTTGAAATAATCTTCGTCCATGCCAACACATAGCAAATTGAAATATTTTTAGGATTACCTGTTCCTGAAAGATTTTTGCAAGAGGAGCACAGTCTGTAGATTTGATAAATCGGACCACTTCAGACACTGACCATTCCAAGGGGTTACTCTCCAGGATAAGTTTATCCTCTTCAATCTGCCGACTTTCCTAATGCACACAAAAACACATTGTGAAACAGAGGTCCATCAAAGAGAGCTTGATGTGACATGATGCAAAGTCAGCGTTTAGAGTTTAATTTACCTTTGGTGCTGGGGACTTGAGAGAGCTATATTTGTTATCCTCGGAAAGTGATAGCGATCGTGCCCTTCTCTTTCGTCTTGCCCTCTCTACAATGAGAGGCCGAGGCAGTTCTGTGGCTGATCTCAGTCTTGCTAATCGTTTTGGTTTAACATCTGGCACCTCAGAAGATGTGTCCGTCTGGTCACCCCGCTGCTCGGAGCTGGTTTCTTCGCTTCCAGTTTCATCATCCATCACATCGTGGCCATCTTCTTTCTCATCTCCATTTTCCTGTGATGAATTGGAGATAATACATCAGTGTTGAATGAAAGGAATTAGTGTCCACAAGAGTCCCTGGACATAAAGCAGCTCAATAATGCTTTTTGCCAACCAGCTGTTAACCTGACTCAATCAGTAGCATTCTAGTCTCTCAATCTAGGTTTTTAATCGGTTTACCCATCCACCTACAAATACGCAGTCACTACACTTTACAGCAAACTCCTATGAATTGCTTTGAGATGTTTTGACAACGTGATAAAAGTCTATACTAAATGCAATGATAATTATCAGTAGGGAATTATCAGTATCAGACTCTTATTTTTCTTTTAGACTTTAGCTTCGAGTAAAGAGGCTTATACAAATCTGCTCTCACAGATTACAATAAGTTGTTGAACTGTCATATCACAGTTGTACAAGTGTGAATGAATTAATAGAACATTCTCCACATCCTACATTACAGTAAATGCATTACAGTCATGAATTTAACACACTCAGACAGCACATTAATAAGGTTATGTCTGCCTCCCAAAGTAGATTTATTACCTGCGGAGAGGCCACTGGAGTATAGTCCATTGAAGTAGATGAACGCTTCTTCTTTTGGACAAAGCAAGACCTACGCTTCTTTCTGCGTCTCGCAGGTTTTTTATTATTACTTTCTATACTGCCGTGTCCAACAGGTGGCCTGATGATTTTCTTCTTTTTTCCATAGTAATAAGCTTGGAGTCAAAAAAAATTACGGTAACTATTGAATATGAGAGAAATGATCGCACATTTTAATTGGTAATAAGGTCATGTGAATATGAGCCCCTGCTGCCAATTCATTATATATAAACCTGATAAAAACATTTGCAAGACATTCCATCTAACAATATCCCTCAAGCATGTTTTGTGGTTCTGTACATTCTCTAGTTGAACTTTAGCTTATTCATTGAAATCTAAAGAAATTAAGTTTTTACATAAACTGGGCAAAAGAATCTTTGCGATACCTTCAAAGGGCATTGGGAGCTCAACAGAGTTCAACAAGGAAAACGTAAAGACGACAAACCTATGTTATTTATTACTCTCCGCCCAAAATGAACTACAAACAACAACGATAGCACCAAGTAAATGCATAAACACCCCAGAGGTACATATACACTAGCCCAGGGTAGCAGTAATTGCCAAAAGCAACATTTTTACTTACAATTCTAATCGTTAATCACATTAAATTATTCTTTTTCAATTGCAGGAACACCAGCATTGCAACCACAAATCATAGTTGTATTAGATGCTGATTAGTAACAAGTTCAATTCAGATCAGACTTTCGTCTGTGCAAAGTAGCAGTACTTGTGGACAATATTGCAATATCAGTAACATATGCTTGTGATAGTTATCCTAGACAGCCATAGAATAAATCAATAACTGGTTCAATGTTATTAATGACTAATTAATGACTAACAGACAATCTATTGCATAGTAACACAGCTCTTATATCTTAAACAGAAAACACTTCAACAGTATGAGAGCCGACTCAAACATACAGTATTAATAGCATTGTGTCACTGACTGATAGGACATGGATCTGTGCCAGGGATTCCGGTAGCTCCATTCAAGACCGAAGACTGACCAGTCACTACCAAGGCTGCCTTAGATGTTCAACAGTCAACTTAGATTAATTATACTGAGTGAAATATACAGCGTAATTAATCTTTTACAATAAACCAGGGTGGTCCAACTGGGACGATTTCATCCAGCCCCCACCCTCCCTTTCATCTGTCCCACCCGCTCTCTCCATAACCCGTAAATGCTACGTTTCTGGAAGGGAAACACAAACATATTGTTTACGCGGCCCATGCTCAAATAGCTCATCTGGCCCTCAGCAGCCAAAAGGTTGGACCACGCTGTGATAAAACATTGTACATGAACAACGCAAGACAGACAGGGAATAACCAAATATTTCTCTCCAGTGAAGATGATTTCAAAACTCATTTCCAATGTCATGCACTAAAAGACTGCTCTGCTCGTTTTTCAATCTAGTTCAAACACTTACTGTATTTTGTTTTAGTGTGAACGGAGCAATTTTCGGGGCATTTGTCAGTCACCATGAGAGGGCCAAACAAGTTTGGGCAACATTCCAGCTTCATGCAGGTCCTTCTGCAGAAATCTGCAACCCGATCTGCCGTTCTTACGATTTTCATAATTGATCTGTACGTCTTCCCTTTGTACCTAACACGGGACAAAAATAACAAGCTGACATTTTCTGTGACAGGATTTTAAAAATGTCAAAATGCAGCTGAAATTAAGAAAGACAGACATCCTGGTACAAATCTCCTCTCACAGGTTACAATGATAGATGTTGAACCATGTCATATCAGTTATACAAGTGTGGATGAATTTATACAACATTCTAGGATGTTATTGAGGCATTTCTTCATTGGAATTTACCTTTCAATCACCTAATTTCTATACATGGCTTTATCTCTTTGTACTACAACTATTTTCTTTGAATCCGGAAATAAAATGTCTTTATTTCTTTCTGCAGTTTTTACAGAAGATTGATTGGTAACTGGACAGGTCGCTAGTTTTGTCTTTATTGATCAAGTTTCCATGAAATCCTTAATCAGTAAACTTTACAAGTCGTGTTTTTCTAAGTTATTGAATTGTTATGTTCCAATTTTCACCCTTCTCTTGAAGATGTTCGTCTTTTTGTTATGATCGTTTGTATGTTTCTTTTTACCCAAGTCCTGTTCCATGGCCACTCTACATTTACTCAGCTGTCACTGAGCTAATGACAGACTGACTATCCAACCAAGCCCAATGCTGTCCTCACATCAGGTTCACACACATGCACCTTCCATCAAAGATTTATGCACAGCAAACAAGGCAAAGAAAACAGGTAAATCTCCTACCCCTCACTAAAATAAAACCTGAGGTAAATTTTAGCTGGCTGAAATTAACAAACTAAAAGATCTCTAGGCATCTAGGCCTTTCCATTGTCTCAAACAGACCCATACTTTCTCAAAGATGATAATATTTGTGTCGTAATTTCTATATCTGTGCAAATAGACAAAGCTTTAAGTCGTTCTGCCTTATTATCTATGACCTTAGATTGGCTTATTTGAAAGCATTAAAATTCAAGGGAACAGAAACACATTTTGCATATACACATTATCTCTCTCTTGATCAAATCATTTGCTTCAGTAGACTCGAACAATGTGTTCAATTGGAGAAACAGCAGCTCAACTTGTTAGTGAAAAACATCAGTAAAAAAATAACTACCTAACAGAAAACTCAAAAAGGCACTGTGTAAAGGTTGTTAAAGCAAACTGTTCTGTGACAAGAGATCTGAGCAAGTGAATCTTGTCAAGACTTCAGGTAACTATTAGCCGGGAGGATGTCTCAAAGTGTTTCACACAGCTGCACGGGGGTGGGGGAGGGGTGTGGGTGAGTTGGAGAGAAGCTGAGGTGAGGTGCCAGAAGCTGGTCAATAAAATAATAATAGTGTTCACTCATGACTATTTGTGGGACGCTGCTGTGCGCAATTGGCTACTGAGTTTCGCCAACAATGTACAGAGTAATTTCTCTTTACAGTATATTCAGTGAAGCGCTTTGAGACGTCTCGAAGACGTGATAAGGCACCTTATCAAATGTATTTATATATGTAATAGCACAGGAATTATATATGTAATAGCACAGGCAAAATGATACGTTTTGAGATAGATTCGGATTTTGAAGGTGGGGAGAGAAGGGGGAAAAGGACACAAATAAGTTGTATCTTTGGCAAATTAGATTACTGGAAGATATTGAGAATTCAGCAAGATTCATGGGAAGAATCAATGGCATTGTCAATCATAGTAAAATTTCTACTGTTATGCCTGCTGTGTTTACAATTAGAAAAGTCTTGCCAGAAAAAGCCTAAAGGATTACAATGTGCGCTCCAGCTTTCATTAAAATTGAATAATCCCTCAATATATCCACGCGAGTTTGAAAAAATGAGCAGCATCGATGCGAAACTAAGGAAAACTAAAACCCATCAAACCTAATTCCATAGTCCTCTACTGTTGCTTTTCCTAGACCTCCTCTCATACAGATGACTTCAATTTCAATCCTTCTCCACTGCACTGTGTGTGCCAAGAGGAATGATTTGGGTTACAGAGCCATCCTTGTTATGTTAAACTGGCCCAAGTGAGTAAGGTTTATTAAATAATACCACTTTGAGCATGTTGGCCAGATTGTACTGACACACATAATCAACCACTCCAGCTTTCCATAAAGCTCAGAACATTACGAGACGTATGTTCTCTGCCAATGCAAAGTGGTGCTTTGAATTTCACAGGAAGTCTAACCACGCCAGTGTGTACTGTCTAAACGTTTAAGAGTCAGGTTGTATCTTTTTAATTGCACATTGCCCTTCAACCCAAGGTTAGATACATATACATAGTGACTCTACGTATGATTACATATTGAACTGACAATACACCCAAACATGGTATTCATTGACCTATAAAAATATAGGGCAGAGCAATTAGATTGCCCAATAAGAACAAAATAACTGTGGCCTTCCCAACACAGAGCTCAGCTGTAAACAGAACATTGATTCCACCTTGGTGGAAGTTATAATAATAATTGCATTTGATACAGCGCCTTATCACTTCGAGGCGTCTCAAAGCGCTTCACAGAATATACTTTAAAGTGAATTGAAAATATTTTTTGTGGGCAAAACACGGCAGCCAATTGCGCACAGCAGTATTCCACAAACAGTCGTGGATTGAGTGACCAAATTATTATTTATTTTTTGGAAGGAATTATTACATAGGCGAAAGCAATCCGTCCATCGAATGTAACTGGGTTCCTACTTATTGCTAGATAAACAGAGGCATGTGGAGTAAAGAAACAATGTGGAGAAAAACAAAGAAGCATTAGTGCCAAATGATATTTTACAGTTTACTGACCAGGTACAAGTCAGGTTAGTTATGTAGACTTATGGCAGTATTTCACTTGGTAAAGCAGCAAGCTGTACATGAATAACCTAGATACAAGTCTGATCAGAAGAATAGGTTTTATAACACATTCCTGATGAAAATCAATGTGCACAAATTCAGAAAGACCTAGAGAAGCTGGTTATAGTAATAATGATCCTTGTATTTAATATGCATCTATCACGCTGTTGAGATGTCTCAAATAATATACTGTAAAGTGGACTGACTGTATTTTGTAGGTGCTGAGACTGTCACAGGAGATGTAGTCAGAGATTTTGCATTGGCCAAAACGATGCTTGTTGGATAGACTTCTGAGGCATAGACAAGGCCTACCAGAGATCAAGGAGGCACTAGAGTATTTCTATACAATGCTTAGAGTGAAGACCATTAATGCCATGCTTGAAAAAACTGGATAACATTTAACTACGAACTGAACAAAGAAGGTAAATAATGGTGCGACTAAGTTGAAATCGTAACCATGTGGTGGCAGATGGATGCAAACCTGTAATGATTTTAAAAAATAAGGTGGCACAAAAGCACTGTAGTTTTCTAAGTAGGAAAGAAAACCTTTTGACTAGTCATGGCTATTATATTCTCGACAGAAAGTGGGGAAAATGAGCTACTCAGCACACGAAAGAGCCATTTGGCACATGTCTGTGTCACTGTTACCTGTTTTTTTCTAAATTGCCCTTTCGACTAATATCATTGTGCAACTTGTTCATATCTCAACGGTTTTATTTCTCAGGGATCTAGTTCCCAAGCAGGGTCTTATCCAAAAAAATTTGATCATTCATTCACCTACTGTTAAACTGCGGTGCGCACTTGGCTGCCGCGTTTCGCCAACAAATCAGTCGATTCACTTTACAGTATAGTCTATGAAGAGTTTGAGATGTCTCGACGACATGATACTATGCTATATCAGATGCAAGGATGATATTATTATTTCCTATTATGAAGTGAAATGGGCAGTTTAATTAACCACTGCTGTTGTGCAAGGATTTTTTTTGGATTCATATGAATGCTATTTGGCTGCAATGTTTCTTGTATTCTTGGCATAAAAGTGTGTTCTTGCTTTAAAAGCAGCAACTCTAGTCTTCCTATAGAGAGCCACTTCTCAGGCACTGTAAAAAGTGAGGCCCCCACCCTGGCACAGCACAGGTTACCCCTGCAGGATTATCTGTATAGCTTACAACTCTATTGAATCAAATCCCACACATGGCCCTTGCTGTATGGGCCTAGGAGTTGTGCAGAGTTATGTAACTCGATGATTTATTTATTTAAAAAAAACACACAATCTTGTTGGCCTTTGTGTGAACAGACATCTTTACACTTACTTGGCTTTTAGTGTCTCTTCTTGACAGTTCCATTGTGGGTCATTGTCAAGCTGCAATTCCCGCAGTACACGGCCTGGTTTATAAGCCGCGTTGATCAATAGAGTAAGAACCTGTTGGGAGAGAAAAACAGCAGAACAGACTGAGTAATTTGAAAGTCAATAGTGTCAGTGGTGAAACCGAACTATGAATAGATGCCGAGTATTTTGTGCGCTGAATTTTATATGAGGTGAAGTGCAAAATACTCATCTTCTGCAGCTGGTGGCAGCACTGAACAGATCTTCATTTAATGTGGGGATAAATGAGATTCATATTCAACACAACCCTTGAGGGCACTGACTCGGGACAATAATTGTGATTATTCTCCCCTAAGCAGTTATCATCTCGACTCCCACTCTCTAAACATGATACTTTTTTATGTCAGTCATATTTTACCAATGGTCAAAATATCAAATTACTAATATTGCAGAAACAAATCACAGTCGGTGCTGGTTAACCTCAGGAGAGAAAAAACAACTTTGGCATAGATTAAATTGTAATTTCCAGTTGCATTTGCTACAAAATAGCAGTGATCCGATACTTTCCCCCTTCATTAAAAAAAAACATCCGATTTTGGAGTGTTTACAGCCCACAAGAAGGCCTTTTGGTTAATCGTGTCTCTTGGACCTTTGAAAGCAGCTCCCTCTTTTCTACACCATTGTCCCAGGCATGCATTTACCTTCCTTATCGTTACTGTACAGATTGGTACATAAAGTAACCCTAAAATTACAACCTCAACCTATCTCCTAAACTCTGAAACGATGCAGGACCTGAACCTTTGGTAACTCATTGGTTCCCATATAAACCACGAGTATTACATAAGACCATAACAACTGTTAGACAAAAGGAAACCAAGGTCCATCCAGTTCGCCTTCCACCATCCTGGCAGTCGCATTGCACAAGTTGTGTCCCAAACTATATACTACTAAAGCACATAAGAATATGACCTCCTCCCTCTCCACAATCTCCTGAACTGCTCCATTATGTTCCTTACTATTCTGCGCAAGTGCAATTAAGCTCATGAACTGAAGGGAAGATTGTGAAGGTTATTGAAGAGCTAGGTATGCAACTTTAAAATGATCCAATGCACACCTTTTAATGATGCATTGAGCAGCAGTGCCGACATGTATTTGCACTGCAACATTTCTAAAGAATTCAAGGTGTTGTCAGCAGACAGACTCAATCATGATGTGTATCGGAATTTCCGCAGCACGCTGTGAAAGTGCGACTTAAAGGCAGAATGGCTGACCTAGAAACACTGTACAGCTTATGTACATTTGTACAAATCAAGGGAATAGGACTGTTAACCACATCTACAATGAAACTGACACAAGCAGTTCTTTAAACAGTTCTTTCCATTAGCCCCAAATAGTTTCATAAAAATTTCTGAAACATATATTTTTAAAATCTCTACATTTCAATCATCTGTGAAACAAAGTTCTGCACAGATTTTGTAGACTGACCATCTTTCATTTCAATTGAAAATGACTGCTGTCAAATAGGTTAACTGCCCACCACAAATAACGTTTAATATATGTTTTGAGGAAGAGGGAGAGATGCTGACAGATAAATGTGGCAGTTCAATTTGGAGGTATAAAATTCAAGATATGCAATTTACGCATAGTATGGTTTTAATAAAGAACCCATCAGTTGTCAATCAGTAAAGTGTTATGCTTAGCTAGAGAAACTGACTATAATAAATGTTCAAATTGCCTACCTCTTTTAGGACGAGCACACATTTTCCAGGTCCAACTGACTGAGGAAGCTCTGCTATTCTCCCTTTGTTTAGATATGGCCCTGAGAAGCAGCGGTGATTAAAGTAGATTTTGGAACAGCAGTACTTTCCGTTGGTGGTAGTGCCTGGAACAAAGAGATCCGAATTTGAGAAACAGTTACAGGACCTTCAATGCAGTTTTAAAATATTTCCATCTTGATTAAAGGAGATGAGGATAACATTAATGGAAATTGGAGAAACAATTGTACATACATGTACTCAGTTCTGTGTATATTACAGCACGAATATTCATTTTGTTAGTCATTTTTAATTCCAATTACCGCTATGCCGAAAATATGAATCCAAATGTTTTCTTACAGCAAAATTTTCTCCTGTAAATTATTCCCAACAAAATAATAATAATCCTTGCATTTGATATAGCGCCTTATCACGTCAAGACATATCAAAGCACTTCACAACAACAAACTACATTTGTATAGCGCCTTTCAGGATGTCGCAAGGCGCTGGGATTAAACATCCGCTTTACAATATATTGTTAGAATATATTGTAAAGTGGATTGAGTGTTTGTTGTGAGCGAAACTCTGCATTTTATTCCACTATTGTATAGTTCCATGGTCACTGTTTGTGTGTAAGCCTCCCAGCGATTATTGGCAGTTGTTTTTTGTATAATTCACAAAATAGTCAGGCTATTTTTTGTGCAGAAAACAGGAGGAGAAACTGGGTAAATTTGAAAATCTGCCACGAATTCACACTTTCAACCAATGTCTCAGCCTGGCTCAATTGGTAGCATTCTCGCCTCTGCGTCAGAAAGTAATTGGTTCAAGCCCCATGTTAGGACTTTGAATTCAGTCTTGGCTGAATTCAAGCTGTTGAACCAAGGTCCCCGTCTGCCTTTTCAGCTGGACGTTAGGGATCCTATAGTACTGTTTGAAGAGAAGGGAATTTTTTTACATATTCTGTACATATTCTGTTAGTGTAAACTTACCTGCATCTGTGGCAATGGGGAAAGAATCGACAGGGCGTGGCTCCATGGGCACAGAGGAATGTAACCTGTTGTCAGAAATCAAAGTTAAATTTCAGTTTGTGAATTTTGGGGGGAAAAATATTTCAATATAAAAATAACTTGTTTTGAATTTAAAACCACAGCACAAAGAAAATAGATCTGTAACATGTTTTTGAAAAGTCACGAAAAATATTTAATGTATTAGTGTCAGTGATAGCCGTACAGGGTATACACAAAGACCTGTTACCCCTTGTTACAAAACAGCAATACGAGACTACACAGGGGCTGAAACAAGCTGTCAGAGATGCACTTCGCCCGTCACTCCATCATGTTATGAAACATGTCGCACCAAACATGGCGACGGATCATTATCTGCCATGAAAATGATGGCGCTGACACACACACACACACACACACCAATCCTTTGGATGTCTAAGTACAGTTAACCACTTGTACTGAATACAATTAAGTACTTCTAAATACAGTCATCATCATCACGTTTCAGTTATTCGTCGGTACACTTAGAAAAAAAACATGGAGGGGTAAGAGGACTTTGTGGGCACACTGTACATTACGTATCTTTATTTGTAAGACCCTTTCCTGCTTATCCTTCAATCAGGAGATTGAAATAATCCAGGGTCTCTCCCAGCCATCAATTGAACTTTGTAATAGCTATTGGAGCCCTTGGCCTGGATATCCTATGTACATCTATTCTTATCCTACACAAGGTGGAGTCACCTCCAGAGGCTGCTGCAGGAAGTTATGTTGAGAGTATGTTTTACTCCTTAGAAAAACATGTAGAGCAATTTAGTAATTGAAGTAACGTAACAATAATAACCCTTGCATTTGATAGAGCGCCTTATCACTTCGTTGAGATGTCTCAAAGCGTTTCATGCAACAGGTCAGAGCAATAGCCTTGCAAGTGAGAGACCTGGGTTCGATTCCCGGCAGAGTTTCCTTACTCCACACGCCTGATAATAATCCCTCAAGAAAAAAACAGAATACAATAATAATTTGGTCACGCAATCCACGACTGTTAGTGGGACACTGCTGTGCGCAATTGACTACCGCGTTTCGCCCACAAAATAGAGTCAATTCACTTTACAGTATATTCTGTGAAGTGCTTTGAGACGTTTCGAAGACATGAAAAGCGCAATATCAAATGCAATGATTATTAGATATTATAAGATACTGGAAAATAATAAAATAACGGGGCTAATAATTCCTTTAAAAAAAACGGTCACTCAATCCACAACTGTTTGTGGGACATTGCTGTGCACAACTGGCTGCTGCGTTTCGCCTACAAAATACACAGTCACTACACTTTAATATTCAGTGCAGTAAATAATCATCTTTATTTTACAAATATTTAGAATTTGATAATTTCATGTGCTACTGGAAAATATTAATAGGCAAGTTGCAGCAGTGAATTGTTTCATAGAACCTTGGAGAAAAAACCTTAGAGAAAAGAGTAGGTTAAAAAGGTAGTATACCTTCAATGTCTCAGTGTCTAAATGCACCACACTGAAATCAAACTTCACCAATGTTTGGGGTAAAAATACTGTACAGTGATCCGAAAACAGCATTCCATTTAATACTACAATGTAATGTCGCAAAGAGAATACAGAGTAATAAAAGTACATCAGTACATAGTACAGGATCCAAATTGGGCTCCTGTTTTCACTTTAGGGTTCAAACCATCCAAAGTGCATGTGTATTTTTGGCAGGACTTTCCTTGCATTTTCTCTCCAGTCTTTTATTTGAGGGATTGGCTTCACATGTGGAAAGTCCATTATACTAGCAGTTTCTTCTATTTGGCACAGAACAACACATTTTATTATTACTATGAATTAAGGTTTTGTTCTTAGGACTGTAATGTCTTCGATGCATCTTTAAATATTGACTTTAAAATAACCCTGCAGCTCATTACCCTATCTCATCGAGTGCAGGGGTAGGGCAGAAGGTCCTAGATTTCCCACATGTGTCCCCACTTTTGGCTTGGCCAAGAGAGGTATAAGCAGAAATGAAGAAGTTTCCAACAGCAAGGAAGGTAATCTCAGTAATTAACATGACCTCTGCTGCTGTGCTGCACGTAATGGCTTAAATAGGTTACCCGCTAACCTATTTTGGCGAGGAAATGGGGAAGAGGTACATGATCCAGGGGAAGATTATGTTTTGGGGGGGGAAAATGGACACTGTGAATTGCGTTCTTTTTGATTTGTCAAAGAAAGTTTTAAATAAAATTCAGATTTTGTATGAATTTGTTGAAACATGTGCACTCCCACAAACTGCTGAGCGTGGTTCGGTAAGTTCAAAAGAAAAAATAATCCTTGCATTTGATATAGCGCCTTGTCACGACTTCTAGACGTCTCAAAGCGCTTCACAAGATACACTGTAAAAGTGGATTAACTGTATATTCTGTGGGTGAAACACAGCAACAATTGAGCACAGCAGCATCCCACAAATAGATAAAAATGGATAAAAGTGCGGTTAGTCGAATACTTTACTGTATTTACAGCTCTCAACTTCAATTGCTTTACAATTGCACTTGTAAAGTGCCCCTCACGTCAGGATGACATCCCAAGGCGCTGGCCAGTCAGGGATTTGGACTTGAGCAGAGGTTTGGGATCAGGAAGGTTGGAGGGCAGGGAGGGTGGGGGTAGGAGGATGACCAAAGATGCTGTCAAAGAGGAGGGTCTTGAGATGTACCTTGAAGGAGGCAGGGGAGAGGGGCGAGGTGAAGGGAATGTGGGATGGAGTTCCAAAGAGAAAATCTTTAAAATCCACAACCTTTCTCCACTCCTCCTGGGATACAGTTCCATGAATGGCAGAATTAGAATATATAAAAAGTGAAGATTGCAACACTGGACTGTGGAATAGCAGCTCTGCCAAACCCAATATTGTCTTTACTCAATGTCCACAAATGCGTGCTTGCCAAGAAGAAACGCTGGATAAAGAACAAGTCGGAATGAAAAACTGATCATGTTCCCCTCCCTATTCTTCTGAGGCCTACTGTCGTCCTACTCCCCCACCCCGCCCCGCCGCCCCCCACCCCGAGATCAGTTTACACAGAACCATTGGCTGAGTATTACATCACATAATTGTTGCAGAATTTTCCTTACTTGAATAAGCTTTATAATTTTTTTTTTAAAAAATTCAATTCGAAACAAAGAGTGGGAACAGTTTTGAGATTCCAAACATAGTACAAGTATAGGAAGAGGGGAATAAAGCCCCTTATCTCAAAGATCATGCAAAACTTTTCTTACATAGACTTTGGTAATAATAATATTGATAATGATAATCCTTGCATTTTTATAGCGCTTTATCATGTCGTCGAAATGTCTCAAAGCTTTAGTATCTCACCCATAAGCTCCTCAGAGAAAGTTCTGACTTGATATTCTCTGAAACCTAAACATAATTGAGCAAAATGCCCATTCATCCTCCACTATTCAATCTCGACCTCTTGGGGAGCCAGTGGAGCCGGGCGAGGGTGGGTGTGATGGGGTATGGAGCCTGGTGCGGGAGAGGACACGAGCTGCAGAGTTTTCGATGATATGCAGCTTGTGGAGGGAAGTGTTGGGAAGGCTGACAAGCAGGGTGTTGGCATCGTTGAGCCTGGACATAATGAAGGCGTGTATGAGGATTTCGGCGGCCTGAGTGGTGAAGCAGTGGTCTGACAACGTGGCAGAGGTGGTAAGTTGAGGGTCGAACAAGACTGACAGCTAGTAGCCTCCTTTAGATAAGTGACTAAGTTGAGGTTCTGTCTGTCAGTTCTTTGATTGAAGATCCCGGGACAATATTAAACAAGAACTAGCTGATTCTCACACTTTAGGAAAAGAAGAAGTTTCTTCCACAATCCTCCAGATTAATTTGTCATTCACCTCTTGGATGCAAATAACTGCCACATTTGCTTTCAAAAGTTGGAACTACATTACTGTAATTACTTGGGCATTGCTTTTAGATGTTTCAATGGCTATACAAATGCAAGTTCTTTCTTCAGAATTACTCTCCTTGATTTATAGTGAAAGATATAAAATGGCATTTAATTAACTTTGTTGATAGCAACTTTACAAAGAATAACATTCTTGACTCCCAATTCCAGCTCAGGTGCCAAGGCAGGACTGTGAAGCATTTTGTCCAACTGACATAAAAGGCACTAGGTAAATTTGCATTGCATTGTATTCTTCCAGCACTTAAAAATTATAGTTAACTTCCAGGTAATTTTGGGGGAGGGTGGGGGCGGCTGAGTCAACCATGTGTCTGACACATGTGGAAACGTATCACCATACTTAAGAGTATCCAAACCAGCCTACACATGGAAATTCCAGAGATATCCATCTCCCTCGAGGGACGCATCCTACACAATTATTTTTTTTTAAATGTTTCAACTTACTGTTTTTCTGGTTGCACTACTGCAATTTTCTTCTGTTTATGACCTGAAATAGAACAGAATCATAAATTATCTCTCTTAGAATTGAGGCACTCCTGACATCGGTGGTGTCAGATCTTTGGTTGCCTCAGTATCACAATGATTTTGATCTTGCACAATCTGGAGTAGTAAATGCACGCATCAGAGAAAGCTTCCTAGAAAATCTATTTTAACACAACAAAGCTTATTTTAGTTTGTATATCACCCGAAATTTGGCAAATCCCACATGTTAAAATCCATGATTACTGATAGCTCCAAAAGCTGTTTAAGAAATCCAAGAGTTAATTGGATAAATTAGCATAACTAATCGAGGCTATGTGAAACTAAGAGTTTCCCTAGGGTGATTGATCCACCTTCAGACTCCTTGGAGAGAGCAACATTCTCCCTCTTCCCCACCAATAAGAAGTCACACATTTAACCTGCGTGAACTATAAAGAACACTAGCTAATTAAGCAATAGGTTTTCTTCATAAGCTAATTGAAAGACCTCCCAAGGGTCAAGGATTTCAATCTTTTTTGGATGCGTTGCAATATGAATATAAAGTCATGGATCCTTTGCGAATACTATTAAAATCCTATATCCTATAACATAACCTGACCATTATGTGAAAATCAAGTCAACTGATTAATGGATATAGCCAAAATGCCCAATCAAATAATCAGAATTAAAAAGTGCTATTTAATTAAATGCTCTGACCTTATAAAGGGAGGCTTGTGTTACTAAGTTACTATCAAGAAACTACTATTAAACTGTATCCGCTGCGTGATGGGAAGCCAGTGGAGTTGGGCAAGGATGGGGGTGATAGGGTCGCGGAGCCTAGTGTGGGAGAGGACACGGGCTGCAGAGGTCTGGATGATCTGCAGCCTGTGGAGGGAGGAGTTGGGGAGGCTGATAAGCAGAGTTTGCAGTGAGAAAGAAAACCAAAGCCCATCCAGTTCGCCTTCCACCATCCTGGTAGTCGCATGACATGTCGTGTACCAAACTATATACTCTATCCCGAGATATTATTTCCTAACAGAAATCTATCTAACTTGTTCTTGAAAAAATCAACACTTTCTACTTCCATCATTCTCTAGGGAGCCTGTTCTATACATTTACTATTCGCTCAATAAAGTAGTGTTTCTGCAGATTTGTTCTGAATTAAGATTTGTTAATTCAGATTGGTTCTGAATTAAGACCCATGATGTAAGATCCTTGATCTTAAATAAGAATTGCTCATACAAAGAAGAAACAGATAGTTCTTGTAAGTCACAAGTCAATTTACAATAGCTTTATAGCATTTGTTTACTGGAAGATACTTACATACTGCCCGATACGGTGGGGTGAGAGGATACCCATTTGCTTCACACCAGCCCACTGGAAAAATGTCCATTGAATCCACATCTACAATGTACTCTGGGACAGGATTCTTAGAGTCTGGAATATAATAGAATAGCATTAAGGATGTTAATTAACGCTGCCATTTGATTTGAACATTATGGTAAACTACCGTTATCATGTGTTTCAAGTGTGAACCACTTACTTACCAACCAAAGAACCCCAAATGTACACAGAAAGCCAAGCAAGCACTGCGCATGAAATAGCAGTCACATTTCAACACTTTTCCCGTTATAAGGCTGATTCGAATTTTCTGGATCTTACAACAACAACTTGTATTTATATAGTGCCACTATATAAATAGTGGGTCACGTCCCAGAGCGCTTGAAACTATCGTAACTTAACTACCACCTTATAACATTTCTACTCTGAGTATGATTTTATGCCCTAATAGTAAAAGTGCATTATTTCTCATTAACTTTTTCCTTTTGTAATTACTGAATAAATGCTGAATATATTAAAAAAAAGACTAAAGAGAACTAAAGTGGTGCCTCATTAAAGGAGCCAAGAAAACATCTATTTTCAACCAAGCTATAGATGTATTATATTTCCTATAGCGAGATACATTTTCTTAGGTATGTATCCGTGATCAAAGCAAATAATCATAGGGTAATGAAAAGCCCTGTCTTGATTAACTTCCATTAACCAACAAATATTTCACAAATGAAGATGATGCAGAATCAGTACTGCAACAGATCAGCTACTGCACTCCAGGACACTGCTTTGTGTGAAGCACACTATATAAATGGGCAATGTTATTGTAACATATCATCAGTAGGGCAAGACAAATCAGCCATGTATCTTGGATTAAGAATAACTTTTATAAAGTCATAGGAAATTAGCTCTGTCCCTTCTGTACATTTATTGACCTTGATGTTTTCTTGCTTGGTTTGAATTTCTTTAAAAATGCAATTTATGCTTTTTCTAACCAAAAACGAGGAATAAAGTCACTTTTTTTTTATATATAAGCTTTAGCAATTTAGGGTCTTGGGTTCAATGTATTTGCAATTGGCTGCCCCATCTGCCCACAAAATACAAAGTCACGCCACTTTACAGTATATCCCATGAAGCACTTGAAGACGTCTCAATGACACGTCCCACAAATAGCCATGAAGTGAATGACCAACTTTATTTGGAGAATTGTTGGTCAGGACACTGAAGAGAAACTCCCTTCTCTTTTCAAACAGTGCCATGGATCTTTACTTTCCATCTGAACAGGCAGATGGAAAATCTGAGCCAAAGAACGGCACCTCTGACAATGCAGCATTACAGCGGAGCAGCTGGACAAAAAAATACTGTGTTGTGGTGCAAAAAGGATTAACATTGTAAGAAACTAAAGCAATCCAGAATGGTTATGCAGTAGCACTAATCAGACTGAGGGCTAAAGAGCAGAATTATACCCACAATTTCTAATCCAACATATTTTGGATCTTAACCGGGTCATTGTAAGAAGGCACTTAGATAAAGATGACAGAAAATCAGTTCAGAACATGTTGAAATGTTGTCTGTTGTTCAATATGATGTTTAAACCAAATAAATGAGACAGTGATACAGAAAAGACATCATCAAGCACTAGGGGATAACAAAAGTGGCATGAGATGAACAACTGCACATTAATGCAGTTTATAAGATCTTAAGATTAAACAGTAGCTTTGATTAGAATTCCTGAAAAGGAAATCAATACCAGTCTATGAACTCTGCATTCTGAAGAGTGATTTTAAAAATTCTCTTGAATGATCACTTGGGAGTTATTTCAATACATCTTTGATATTAACAGAATTTACAATTTGTATTTAGCACAGCAATTTTTTAATTTTTTTTTACTTTTGTCCTTTTTGACACAAGTAGAAAATTGTTATTCTTGTATCACGTACATGGCATTTCTTAGCTTGAAAATGTACTGTAATAAAGAAAAAAAAGCATCTGTTCACATCAAAATGTTTCAATGTTTCACAGATGTAAAGCGTAATGATAGTAGGAATGCCGGCAGCCTTTTGCACCAGCATTAAAGTTCCCAACGTGAAGAAATGTTGGCCAGGACTCTTCCCTTTTAAAACAATTTGAGCCTGAATGTCAGATATAAAGTATTAATTCAGTCTATACGTTTTTAAAGTTTTGGATTAGAGATATTCTGCAGGCAGAAAGTTAGGGACTCAGAGAAAGCGAAAGACAGACAGCCGCAAAAAAGATGGTGAGAGGCAGTGAGAAAAATCTTAAAACAAAAAAAAGCGCAGAGAAAGAGACATACAGACCCACCAACACACAAGCAAAGAAAAAACAGAGGAAGAAGGAACCATCAAGTGTGGTGACAGTATGACTCATGGTGGAACATTATTTTTTTTGTTGGTACCGTAATTTGCATTTTCTGTGATCTACAAAGATACCAGTCCCAAATACTGGAGATATTAGCTCTCTACTGTATACAGTAACCCACTGAAATACATTTGATATTACTACAGTTCAAATGGCCCGATTAGAGAGCATTTCTGTTCAAATCAAACTTTTTTTTGTCAAAGGGGGCAACAATGCATAACTATTTAAAGACAAAAATAAAATGTCTACCCCGGAAAAGACATAATGATAATAATTTTCTCACTTAATCCACGACTGTGCGCAATTGGCCACTGCGTTTCACCCACAAAATATAGAATAAATTCACTTTACAGTATATTCTGTGAAAGGCTTTGAGACATTTGAAAGAGGTGAAAAGGTGCTCGATCAAATTATTATCAAGGATTATTATAGTATATAAATTATTATAATTATTATAATATATAAATAAAATGTGTGTATATGTAAAATATATATCAGAAACAGATTGGAGTGTTTGAAGGACATGACATTTCAGGTCTGTCATGTCACTAATAAATATTTCAGCATTACTTCCATGGATTCTGATCTAGCTCAACTCCTTCATGACTTAATGACTTGTGGCTCAATCCACGTGATCAATGGATAGATCATAATTATGAAGTATGCTTCTGGATGGAAGCAAATGAGACGAAGGTTACTGGTGTATGGTCATCTGCTTGCGAAAAAAAAGAGACTCAAGGAACTCCTCAGTAGCTATTATAAAAATGGGTCCAAGAGTGGTTCAAAGTCACAATTGCAATCTCAGGAATCAGAAGAATTAAGAAAACACTTGAGCTGTGGCTTGCTGCTTCATTGAGCCCTCAATTATGCAATCTTGTAATCACTCCCAATTCCCACTGTATTGTCTATAATTGACGTAGTTAATGTTTCACGTTTAGCAGACGAAACAATGTTATCTTACTCAAAGTGCAGACACAATTCTTCACGTTTTACATCTTTGGAAAGTAGACACTTTAATAGCTCAGAGAAACTGCCAACAGTAACGACTCAATGAGAAACACATCGACCACAGAGCAAATTGTAAGACACTAAACTGTAAAATGATAAATTCTCAAGACCCATCAAATGATTCATATTTAAAGAAAAAATCGCCAAAATGCAAGAACTGGATTTGAAGTGTTCCAAGGGATGATTTCAGGTCCATAAATTATACAATATAGCAATACAAATTCACATTTATACAGCACAATTCACATTGGGAAAACGTCCCAAGGTGCTGAATATGAATAAAAAAAAATTAAGAATAAGAACTAGAGGTATAATGACTTTCATTGCAGAAAAGTGAGAGGAGACATGATTTTCGTTTCAAACCAACAAAGAACTGGGAAATCTGAATGCAAGCATTATTAGGTCTGAAAGCACAGGAATGCAATGAATATAAAACTATCTTGCTTAGTTAAGCAAGACTCAAATTACAAGATGTTTGAAGCAATGGAACAGCGGAAAAAGTTAGTGTGTGGAAAAGAATCCCCAATTAACACTGTTAATTTGCACTTTTAAGAAACGTGATTATCTGGTTAGAAATGTTAATGAGGGTTAGAAGAATGACTACAGATGCAGGTCATTAAACGATGTGTGGTAAATCATGAATGTGTAAGCAAGCTGCTATAAAGTACACCTCAAAGTGAATAAGATAGACTTTTTACACATGCAAACACATATAGAATCGCTACACGTTAAGTTTATAATACTCATGAAACATGTCCCCAAATTCACTTTTGATTTTGGGACTCAGCTTTATTAGAATAGCTTAACTTAGAATAATATCCAACACTTTTCTGTTAGTGCATATGGATATAGAATCTTGATTGAACATTGAAAGTTATATGTATTGATATAGATCTCCTGCTACATATCTTCACATGGAAATGAAACAAGACTATTTTGCAGCATAAATGCAAAAAATGTCAGGGCGAATTTAAATATGTGAGAATACGTATGCTGTTATTGTAATAATAATACTTGCATTTGATAGAGCACCTTATCACATCAATGAGACGTCTCAAAGCGCTTCACAGAATATGCTGTAAAGTGAGTTGACTGTATATTTGTTGGAAAAACACAAATTAACTACCTTTGAAAATTGTCAATGTGGTGATTACTACGAAATGCAAAGTTTCCAAAGTCATTTGAACCTCTGAGAATTATCAACGACGCATATTCTGTTTCTGCAACTAAAACTACTTAGTAATTCAAAAGTAAATATAATTTTTTTTAAATAAAGGGTCTTGTCAGGGTAAATAGTAATAAGTTATTCCCATTGATAGGGGAGTCAGTGGCTAGGGGAGATAGTTATAAGACAGCCACAATAGTAGCAAAATGACAACTTAGGAGGAATTTTCTTTTAACCCAGAGTTGTTGGGATGTTCAATGCCCTGCCGAGGGTGGTGGAAAAGGAGTCTATTGTAGCTTTTAATAGGGAAATAGTCACATGAAAGAAAGGGGCTTGAAGGCATATGGGGATAAGAAGGGCGGTCTGACTGAAGTGATCACTTTGCTCCGTGAGCATGTGTGGACTCAAATGGGCCGAATGGTATAGAGTGTCCCTCATGTAGGGCATCTGAAGATGCGGAAGGAAGGGGCAAGGCGGTGGGATAGAAGAAGAGTGTCCCAGAGTTTCAGGGTGTAGTAGCTGAAAGTGCATCCACCAATGGTGTAAGGGAGGGCACGAGGGGCATGCAGGAGGCTGCAGCCAGTCGATTGCAGACAATAACACTTACCTCGTTTGAAGTCACATTGGAAGAGATGTGTAAAAAGGTCACCAGCTTGGTACAAAATAAATATGTGGGGATGGAGATAAAAGCTAACTGTAAAACTGACATTGAAGATACTTTTAAGAAATGTAAGTTAAGAGTTTCACAGAAATGACTCAGATTCTGTCTTGTGGCAGTGTGGGTGCAAACTCATGTTCTCGCTTCAGGAACAGATAAGATCTCAAAACGATTTTACTGAAGGCACTATACGTTTTTGAAAATGTTCATCAACTGTCTGGCTTTCATATAGAAATTTATAGAGAAATCAAAACACACAAAACCAGCGCCCTGCAGTCATCTATTTCAAGAGAACTATTATTTTCAAGACAAGTGATAATCTATTTTGTGGTTCTGTTCATTATTCTGAAAGAAACCCCAAATTAAAATGTTAATAACCACATGATGGAACAAACATCTAGCAAATAGTTGCATATTAATTCAATCAATGCAACATTTAAATATATGGGATACAGATTAAGTTAATAGACTATGTTATTAATTGGATTAGATGAGCCAATCGTTTTGTTTCAACCATGTTTCTGTTTCCTCAACTGGGTCCTTGATAATATGCATTATCTGCTATCACTCCCCTAGCTACATGCTGACTATAATACAATAGTCTGCTATCTGAGACCACAGCATCCGTTCTTAGCACAATAATGTTAAGTATTCATAACTGGATAAGCACAACTACATTTATTACTGCTACTCACTTCTTAAAATTGCTTTATTGAAAAACAAATGTCAGCATTTTAATTTGTTATGCTTCTATTCTGCTCATCTTTTAGAAGTTTTATAATTGACTGTATATCTTTCGCCCATAAAATATACAGTCAATTCACTTTACCGTATATACTGTGAAGTGCTTTGAGACGCCTTGAAGACGTGATAAGGCGCTTTATCAAATGCAAGGATTATTATTATCTGCTCCCAGTTGCTGAAATCTGAAATTTGTTTTGCAGCCAAAGAAAATATAAATCAAATTACAGTATATACTGTTCCATTCTAAGGTTGAGAGCTATACATTTAAATCTATTCTTTACTACAGTTCTACAAATAAAAATATTAAAAGTGCTGGAAACGCAAGGATTAGCCACATCAGTGTTCAAAACGATTCTTACAATTTCCATTTCTGAAACGAGGAAGATCAAATTAGCAGGAAATAAATCAAAATCCCATTTTCCCCAGCTAATTTCAATTCTCTCTGGCCTGTGCAGCTGCAACCCCAATTAAGTCAAGTTTAAAGAATCAGCCCACGTTCCCCACAGCCTGGCATCTCTCCATCATGTTCAAATCATTCCAGTAGAATTTCCTACTCCAACCTGAGATCACTTAGGAGCTGGAGTCCCATATCAGCATGGTGTACATGATTCCCTACAGTCAGGAGGCACTTGAAGTTCAGAGGATTTTTTTNCCCTGAGATTGTACTGAAGCAACATTTACTTTGTTACGTACGTGATAAGTGCTTTTTCTACCCAATTGCCAGTACTTTTGAGATCTAGGTCATGTAGCTCGCTGTTCCATCTTTTCTCCCACGAAAACTAGTTTAATTTTGTTAAGTCTCTCTTCATAAATTTAGAAGTGAAGGTTCTGGAGTTGGAGCGCAGTTGAGTGGCAACAGCCTGTTTTCAGGAGTTTGGATAAGAAGAGCGATTGGAGATGAGCTGGAGTTGGAAGATGGGCGGGTCTGAGTAGTAGGGAGGGAAAAATGCAGGAAAGAAAGGAACAGGGACAGACAGACCCGCTGCACTACCCACCGCCTTCCCTCATCCCCTCTGCTCCACCATCAGGGGCTATGCTTTCAGCCACTATGCCCCAAAACTATGGAACTCTCTGCCTCCTCTGCCTTGGCTCCTCCTTCCCGGACTTCACATCACACCTGAAGATGTTCCTCTTCGACCGTCCCTACAATCACCTCCCCCTCTCCCTGGCTCGTCATCAAGGTCTGCCACTCTAAAGTGCTTCAAGAAGCTACCCCACTTGAAGAGCTCTATATAAATCCAAGTTCCTGTTGTTATTGACAGGTTAATATCTGCCAGTAGGGGGCAGAGGAAGATGATTAGGCATCAACTGCTGAGTGGAGATTTTGTAAGATATTCTATTAGTAAAAGTACAGTTTGCTATATAACCTAGCCTGTTATATAATCTACAAACAGCAACAGGAAATGCAGATTTATCCTCTTTGGAATTGCACAAATTATTGCATTCTCAATCTATCTTCTGATACCTGCTGGGAAACCCGTTTTCAATCTGGCTAACTGATATGCCATTAATTCCATGCGCCTCAGATGCAAACATTCTCTGCAGAAAATCCAGGCAATTACAGTTGCTGAATACCCGTTTACTTATAGTCATACAAAATTCCATGAGTCTTTGTGAGGCACGATCTATTGCTGCTACTGTTGAGCTGAGCACTCATTTTGGACTCTACACTGTTTAGATTAACATTGATTTTTCAATTTAACATTCTTCCTACTACTGAAGTCAAACTAAATATCTAGAAATCCCTCAAAGATGTGGGTCTTTATTTTATTTGCTCTGCAACCTTTGATGCCTGTACATTCACACCAAAGGAATGAGGAAACTAGGTGTACAAAACAGCCATGATTGGGTCCTCTACCTTAATATAAACCCTTCAAATCATCAATTCTGTGCCCATTTTCAAATGCAAAAAATATACATTTGTTTATATATATATAAACTTGCTGTTTATTATAGAATTATAAAAAGAACATATTAAAAACAATCTTAAAACTCAACTTAATAGTTTGTCTGAAAGTATTTCTTTTTTTAAAAACACATAATAAGCCTGGCAGGGAAACATTATTTCATACACTATCTATACTATAATAATAAACCTTGCGTTTGATATAGTGCCTTATCACGTCGTTGAGACGTCTCAAAGTGCTCCACAGGATATACTGCAAAATAGTTTGATGGTGTATTTTGTGGGCTAGTCAGTTTGCGCACAGCAATGTCCCACAAACACCCATGGAGTGGGTCACCAACTATAATGTCCTGTAATGTAATGCATACCACAAACATCTAACACTGCTATTTTTGACAAGTTTAAAAAAAAATTCTCATTCATCTTACCTTCAAGGTGAATCCACATCAATCGTCCTTTTACTTTAATGATCGAAGCAACGCATATCTCTGCTGCATTACTGTGGGTAACTGCTTCCAACTTCATATTTTTGGTGAAACCACGATTGAATGAAGTCTGAAAGAAAGTTTTTTTTAAAATAACAACAAAATTACCCAAAGACAAGATCAGAAAAAGTACTATAAATTGAAAAATTGCTACATGTAAACCACATCCACTCAAATAACCTTTCTATAGACTGTTTTATGCCAGCCAGCCAAATTCAGGGCAGCCAACCCCATTATAACAAGGTGTCTGGGATCAATCCAAAAACATTAGGCACCTTGTAATCACAGGTCCATGAACATAACTAACCACCGATCTCATTTTCAGGTGGTCAGGTTCCTGCTGTTGTCACTTCCTGCACCTTACACTATGTATGTACTTAAGTCTTTGACCGACATGCCTTCATATCCAAAGGATGAGAGAATGCATTCCACGCAGTCGAAACACTCATCCACACCTTTGTCACCTCCAGACTTAATTTTCCAATTCCATGCTTCCTGGCCTCACCACTTTCCACTAACTCCAGATCATGCACACCTTAAATAGCCTATATTCTCCCCTGCACTAGATTCTATACTCCTAGTACTCATCACTCTATTCCTTGACTGATTCCACTGGCTTCTTATCCTCCAGCTGATCAATATTAAGGTCCTCATTCTCTTGTTCAAATACATCCACGGCCTTGCTTCTTACCTCTATGAGGTCTCGTCACCATATCCCTCTGGCTACTCCCTTCTCTCTGCCAATACCGGCCTGCTTCATGCTCTAGTATCATTAGCAGCGATTCTTTAGCTATTTTGACCCCATCGCTGGAGCTCTTCCTCCACCTCATCCCTTCCCGCTTTCAAATCCCACTTGAAAATAATCCTCTTTGCGTTTCAGACACCTTTACTCCACCTATTCCCCCTCCTTCCAGCGTGGCTTCAGTCTTTCACACTCCAGCAGTTTATTGTAGTAAATGTTCTGACACATTGTATAAAATGTACTGTGAGTGAACCAAGATCTGGGAGCTTTAAAGAGAGCCTTATAATTAGATAGGGTGTGCATTCATAATGCAATCACATTTCAAACAGATGTTCAAAGATATGATTAAATGAAGAGAAGGCACTTTATTAAGAAAATTACAAAATGTAATTCTATGAAAAAAACTGAGATGTAATTAACCATTACAAGAGTTCCAAGACGTAGAAAATACTGCATATATGTTAATATATTATATAGATTTCTTGACCAAAGGTCGGAATAACATTTTTAAGGTTATTATTAAAATGGTTCCTTTGATATTACAAGTATGAGTTTAAAAATATATAAAAGTTGTGCAACTAAAATATACTGCAGACAGAAAGAAAATCGTTTGCCGATGGTGCATTCTTCTCCCTCAGCTATGCCTTATGTTTTATTTCAACTTGGAGAATGTATTCGCTATAAAATTTATAAGCACACAGTGGCAAATTCGCAAAGCTACTGAATAGAACAGAATTGCACTTGGTTTACCATCTACAAATATACTTCACGGATTGCGTTGTGTAGAATAACCCCCATTGATTTTATGGCCTCATAGAAACTTGTTTCGATGAAAATGAAAAACACACAAACTGGTTACTAATACATACTCAGCTAAGGGTTGTTTTCCAGGAACAGGTGCCTACAGATCATCTTCCAGGCTGGTGAGAGATACCAGCCTTCACTGAAATTATTGCAGCTAACTAAAGGGCACATACAGGCTTCACTTCATCTCATTGATAAATGCATAACATTTAAACTGGTCGGTTAACTTTTAACAAAAATACAGCAAATTAATAATCTCAGACTGATTCTCCAGACTGCAGAAAGATATACAACAAGCCATAGCAATTCTATGGCGAAATTAAACTGTGGTGTAGAAATTTCCTTCTGCATCTGTCATGTCTCGCTCCCTCAAGGCACACATCAAGATCCTCCTCTTCGACGACACCTTCGGTCACCCTCCTACCCCTATCCTCCCTGCCCTCCACCCTCCCTGATCCCAACCTCCAGCTCGGGTCCAAATCCCTGCCTATCCAGCACCTTGGGAAAAGCGCTGTAATTTATTGTTGTTGTCAAGCATATTGACATCTAGTTAATTAGCATATCATAACTTTTTCACATGTTTCAAAGCTGGTGGCACATACTGCTCTGATCTGTTGTGATCTGCACTAAAATACCTGACGTCCCGCGGGAAATGCATTCATATTGACAGACCTAACAAAAGCTACCCAGCTGAGAAAAATAAGCTCAAAGGGCAGCCAATTGTGCAGTTTGCCACTCTTTGAGATATGTGAAAACACATCACTAATGATAAACGTAAAACTAGTTACGTCTTTGTTCCTAAAACAAAGTAATCCATTATTACAGAACACTGCCATTAAGCAAATATAAGACATATTTCTAGATCACACATTAACAGATTACACCCAGTTAGAGCATTCTGTTTATCTACTATAATACATTAATCCCCCAATGGGTATGCATGTATTTTGTGGCAATTTATATAGGATTGATGACAAGAAAAATTGCACCTTATTTACTTAGCATTTGATAATATCAAATGACTCAACAATTGACAATGCTTGGGAAAATTCCTCTGGGAAGCTGCTACAGAAATAACAGGTGCTCTCATGGGATCTGCCACATCAAAAGTCTATTGTGTAATTAAAACAGGCAGATTGGTAATTGAAGCAAGGAGCGTCTTTGAACTGGCTAATCTCCTTTGTAGATATTTAAATAACCCGAGCTCTAATAAAACCATTTGCTGCAATATTACTGCTGCCAACAGTACAGACCATAAAATGTGCCACATAAATAGATAACCAGATGAAATATGTAGACTCTACCACTAGTGTTCAACAGATCAAACACGTCTGTCTGCATTCATCAATACACACACACCTTATTAGAAATGGGGAAAAGAAGCCAAACAATGCAATTTACTTCTCCACTGCCCAACGTTCTTAAGTTTTAACAGTTGTATGTTTATGTGTAGTTGAGCATTGTGTCAATATTAAAAATATAATAAAACTTGTTATAATGAACTTCATTATAATACAGCCCCAAAATTCATTTACCAAAACGTAAATGGCCTAGAATTTCAAACAATTCAATAATTGCAAAAATAATTGAAAAGAAAAAAAATTGCTAGGCTTTGGGGAATAAATGGGACTAATAGGCCTTTCAAAGAGCCGGCAGAGGCACGATGGGCTGAATGGCCTCCTCGTGTGCTGTACGTTTCTATGTTTCTATATAAATCTGCCATTTTTAACAAGCCTGAAACACTGACTGCCGATAAGGCTGATTGGGATTTTATAGACTGTTATAAGCAGTTTTACTTTAAATGAATTATTGCGTAACAACTAGGAGAACATAACTTACATTTCTGAAGCAGAATTGAGAAACTGCTTCTGCTTCACATTGTTTAAGGTAATCAGCCCAATCAAAGTCTGGATTCGGGTAACCTACAATTGTACAAAAGCAAGATAATGTTAAAATAATATTTACAGATTTGAATTTCCCTTTACAATAAATAGTTTGATAGATTGCAATAGCAGTATAAACACTGCCCCAGACTAATGGAACTAAATGGTCTATTTGCATGCTGTAACACTGTGTATTTCTATGTAGTTCCACCCACAAAATATACAGTCAATATACAGTAAATACATTTAAGTACTGCCTTGCAAAACAATCCCAAAATATGCTTCAGTTAGCTGTTTATAACAGACAGGTACAAACCCTTAGGTGGAGTGAGATGGACCCCATTTTTAAGGCACCACTGAACAGGCAAAATCCCTGGAGAATCAGCATGACAAAGAACTGTGTTTTCACTAGTCTCTGTCCTTAGGTCATCCATCGTGATCATAAAATACTGATCGTTGAAAACCTACAAGAACGCAAACAAGAAATGGATTCAGTACAACAGTGCCACAACTATCAAATACAATACTTTACATGAGGTATTGTTGAAACAATAATACAGACTGTTTCTGAAAGAATGACTAACATTAATGCACTCATATGTACCAATTGTGCAGGTTGTTCAATTTCATCAACTGGTACAAAGTATGGCATCTTTGACCCAATAGCATGAATTGATCACTTAAATACCTTTTCTGCTTGTACGCTACTTAGATTTACAATGCACATAAATAAGATTACCACCAGAAGTACTTGGTGCACTATTATTTTGCAGCAATTATCACAAATAAAATGAGACAAAAATGAATCAGTAATTACTGTAAAACAAAAACAGCACCATTGTTAATGGGTTCTATTAATTATAAATATTTCAATACTGGAACTCATTACCAAGATGAGGTGAATCTGGCTTCCGGACAGAGTTGTTGATGCTCACCTTTGTTACGGAGGCAGGGCAGATGGAAAAGGGCTCCAATGAGTTCACTGCCTCCAGCTTCATGCCAACTGTGAAGGAGTGAGTTCGAAGATCAGGCTGGTCCTGTGTTGGGAGTTTTTAAACAAAGAGGTCTTCATTAAGGGCCATTTAGATTTCTACATCACATAGATAATAATCATAACAATAATCCTTGTCTTTAATACAGCGCTTTATCACTTTTTCGATATGTCTCAAAGCGCTTCACAGAATATTCTGCCAAGTGAGTTGACTGTATATTTTCTGGGCGAAACGAAGCAGCCAATTGGGCACAGCGGGGTCCCACAAACAGTCGTGGATTGAGTGACCAATTTGTTTTGAATAATAATTTAATGATATGTTCTTCATCAATATATTTTCTTTTCACAAGACAATGTTCATTCTTTTATATGAATATTTTACAATGGTTTAGTTTTGAGGCTTTTAGTGACAATTAATTTTTTGCTTAGCTAAAGCATAGTTAAAATTTTTTCAGAAGATAAAAGTCTGCACAATGAGGATCAATGGGGTTCTGTCTGTTTTTATTCTAGTTACAGATGTTCCTTAGAAGTGGAATTAATTGGGTAATCTAATTTTCTCATTCTGTATTCTGCTTAGACATCTCATTAAAAAAAAGGTATTTTAGTGCTCAAGTGATGGACGCAAGTGCTTCAGAATGAAACTCATCTGTTTGGAGCACACAGCAACAGCATCAAGCACATCTTAGTCAGGTGCAGCAAAGGTCAGTCTGACTCATTAGTAGTACTCTCAACTCTGGGTCAGGAGATTGTGGGTTAAAACCCCACACTAGTATTATGATCTCAACAACAACAAATTACATTTATATAGACCCTCCACATTGGGAGGGTCCTTAAATGCGGGGTACCCGAGCTGAGGGTTGGGATCAGGAGGGGTGGAGGGCAAGGGCGATAGTGCTGGGAAGATGCTGAAAGGCATTACTGAAGCAAAAGTCTTGAGATGGGCCTTGAAGGAGGCAAGTGAGGGGGCGCGCAGGTGTAGGCAAATGTGTGGACGAGGGTCTCGGTAGCCTGAGGAGAGAGGCAGTGACGGAGCTGGGCAATGCTTGGTTTTAAAGTCTAGACCGGCATTTCACTGGTGATAATTGACACATCAATCAAAGCTACAGTCCAAAAAAAGAGCAAACAGTCATCACTGTCCTTTGAGGATGGAGTCTTCCTTCATCCAACCGTTAACAACATATTTGGATGATGCGATAATCATCAGATGTCAATACAAAACGACACATTTTCCCCCTCCCTACAGTTTCAACTATTTTCAACCGCTATTTTCTAGTCATTTCTTTTGTTAGTGTATTGATGCTTTAAAACCGTGAATATCAACGGCACTGCTTGTAACAAGGCCCACTTTGTCCCATTGCTGTACTTACATTGCTATTTGTACCTGGGGCATTTAGCAGCTTTATGTATTATGAACGAGTAATATTAACATAGGGAGCTCTTATATTCCTAACAAGTTACTTCAATATAGCAGAATTTGACAGTTCCAATTAATTTGTATGATAAGATGCTCCATATTGAAGATTATAATTAATTTTTTTCACACGCATTTCAAGCACAGCCTGAGCAGGCAAGATAAATATAGGATATCACAGGATAGTCAACAACTCAAGATTCAACAGTGTCACAGGGGTAGCAATTACAACAATCTTTTGCATTAGTGGAATATTCTCAGTAACCTGCTATCATCTCACTATACGGTTGATGCTATAAACAGAATCGTCCTGCTTTTGGGAGTAGGGAGAGGAGGGAGAAGGAGAAGGTAAGCGGAGTCTTCTAGGAGCTGTACTGACTCCAAAGTGATATGATTGGCAATGGAATGTTAGGATCGAGTTCAATTCGCCCACAAAATACACAGTCAGTCCACTTTACAAAGCCCTAATGGGTAGGGTGGTTCTCGCTGGACAAGCAACAGGAAGCTTGTCAAGACAGTGCTTTCAACGACAAGCCATTGTTAAGCTCTGGCATTAATTACCCCAATGCACAGTGTGGGTTTCCCAAGCCTTGGCTCTTGCCAACCTGTGCTCCAGATTTAGGTAAGTAGGGTCTGCTCATCTGGGGAGAGACTGCATGTTCTATTCCAGACACTGTAATTTGCAGGTGTTGGTGGCATGCAATGAATTCTCAGCCTGGTTTGGATACTCTTAAGTATGATGACGGGTTTCCATGTGCAAGACACCTGCCTGTTCAAAATAATTCCTGTGTCCTGAATACAGAGCAGCTGTTGTTTTTATTGTCCCAATAGAATAAATTTTAACCAACTTTTTTTTCTTCAGGAAGCTGTGTGATATTTCACCACATGGTCAGAATGTGCAAACACCCATCGTTAAAGAAGCCAAAATGAAAGAAACCTGTGATGACTCGAATACAATCTCTCAATAGTCAAACTTGTGATGCAACATTAAAAAATTGCAGAAACAGTAAATATTTGCAATGAATTATTTTCTTTGCTATTATACAAAATTAGATGCTTATTCAATGTATTATTACCCGTATCGATTCATGGCATTATTCTACTACAAGAATAATCTGACTGCTTCAGATTACAAGAAATGGCAGCATGTACTAATTAAATGCAAAGATTTTAACTAACATGTTGTCATCTTTAGTAATGAGAGCTCTCCCATATGTCTAATTTACTCAAAAACTTCACACTATAAATAAGGATCTTTCGGTCTTATCAAATTCAATGCATATAATTAAAAATATATTCACAAAATAATTTGAGATAATTCAAGATAAACTAAAAATATGCCCACAGTGAAACATTAAACTATTTATTTCAAACAGAAATAAATCCTATACTATTTACACCCACAGAAAACATAGAACACCAACTAGTCTGTGAAATCAATTTGGTTTAAGTTAACATAGAATTGTCAGAATAAAGATTAAAATAGTAAAAGTTGAGTCAACAATGCAAGAAAAAAGTTTATTTTTTTCATGTTACTCATGATTAATACATTTTTGACACTGAAGGCTGAGTGTTTTATACCTCAAAACGACTGGTTCCTGAATCAAACTGATTCAAGTCCTGACAACTATATGAAGCACTTAGAGATGTCCTCACAAAGTGAAAGGTACAATATAAATGATAAAGCTTCTTAAGACTATTCTGAATCAAGCTTAAAGGCCTTTGGTTTAAGCACTCCAGACGCTACCTCACATGAAGAGTGCTATATGACGTAAGTTGTTGTACATTTAGAAAAGAAGACATTTTCTTCTATTTTGTAGATTTCTAATTCAACTGCATCGTACTTAGCTTTCATTGCACATTCATTTCTGTATGTGTTACGCAGTAAAATACATAATTCAAAAGTTACAATGAATCCTGAAATAAATGACTAGAAAACCCCATCAAGCAATTGTGAAGGATTGAAATCAATCTTTTGTTAGAATAAATCAAAATACAAGTATTTACATAACTATAGAAATATTTGTTAAATCTGTAAATGTTAACGTGGCGAGCTGATTATTTTCTGATTCTTCTGTTAATAAATCCTAGTGATATTGAAAAGACACACACCAACATGCCATGGACTCCCCTATTTATTTAGCAACCATAATATGCCACCTTTTAAAATCACAATCAATCAATTTACAAGATGTGTTCGAATGGGCTGCACTGAAGGATAAAGAAGGCTTTTAATTCGTTTTAGGCCAGAAATGACATGATTTCTAAAAGACTCCTAATTGCTTCATTTATACTACGGATCTGCATTCAACATTGATGCATTAATTAATCTTTTGCCTGGTAGATTACAACTGCTGTAGCTCTAAAGCCCCTTGTTGTGAGTGAAGTCTTTGTCAAATCAAATCAATTTTTTCCTCAGTGAGTATATCGTATACATAGCATTACAATCATGTTCCAGGAAATACAGTACTTGTCCGTTTTCAATATTTAAGATGGAGTGAATAGCCAACTGTGATACAAGATTTATCAAATGTAATCAATTGTGTGCTTAAATCCGCAAGTCAACGAATGAGAAAGAATAGAACTATCTATTCCTTTTACTTCAACTCCACTGTTCAAGAGAGAGGCAGCGTGTATTACCCTCATTAAATTAGTTGTAATTTGTGTTTCATTCAAAAGTTAAATGCCTACACAAGAATATTTCAAATAAAATTAAGTTAAGAGTTTTTGGAAATTGACATGACCTAAACGTATTGAATTAACAATAGCTTTAATGGCTCCCTTAAAATCAATTCATTACATGCTTAATAAAGCACACAAGCTATGAAAAATCCTAGTTTTTATGACTTATGGTTTCAAAACTGCATCTTTTGGAAGTGTTCTTGATTATAGAATGGATGTAGCCTACAGAACAGCCATCATCACTGTCTGAGGACATGGGTTGGGGTAGGAAAAGATCCAGTTTTGAAGCAGAATTGCACTAGGTATTAATATATAGAAAGTAGATGCATGTGAATTCTGTCGAAACCAAAATTTTAATAATAATCCTTGCATTTGATAGAGCGCCTTATCACGTCATTAAGACGTCTCAAAGTGCTTCACAGAAGGCAAATTGCAGGCTAATACAGATCTAAATGAACCAAAAATACGATTACGATTAAACTGAGACTGCTATTGGCTATAATAGGATTGATGAATCTTTCTACAAAACAAAGAACACTTTATTTATTTATGTGGTTATTCCAATCAATAAATACTATTTATCTTTTGCAGCTTATTGCTATATATGATAGCAATCTTTTATCAATACTGGGGTTTACAGCAGAACTGCTAACGTTGTATTTTAGCACCCTCGTGCAATAATGAGAACAAAATGAAACCCAAATTGGAAGTAAGCCAAACTAAATGGGCAGGTTGCTGAATAGGTTTGTTGCACAGGCACCGGTTATTACTCATTCCATGAGATGTGAAGCAGTAAAATGCATTCAGGGCATATCTCCCGTAGTCATATTCTCTTAACCACATGTGCAATTTCAGAAAAGTGAGTCTTTCACTTACCTTAAATCCCGTTAATTAAATGACTTGTCCATTTAATGGTATTTTTATAAAATGATAAACTCACATGACAGACAATTTGTATTTACTGCTACAAGCACAAGCAACCTCACATAAATGACATTAGGTGACTAACAGGATTACTATGGGATTGTTGAACAGAAATTGTATATAAATGATTTGGAAGTGGATACAGTAACCAAATTTTCAAAGTTTACTGATATACTAAATTGGGGAAATGCAAACAACAGAAAACAGGAGAATCAAATACAGAGGAATCAAACCAGATTAGACTGAAAGTTGGCAAATATCATTCAATATGAATAAATTTATTGTGACAAGATTATGGTGAAAATATAAACTAACTGGTACTAAAGTACAAGACAACACAGAAAAAGGATTGGGGGAAGAGACAAATGAATAAATTGCTGTAACCAACTGCCTACAAAATACAGTCACTACACTTCACAGTAAAATCCTGGAAAGCGCTTTGAGACATCCTCCTGACGTGGAAGTCTCTATATCAAATGAAAGGTTTTTTTTTATTAAACTACTTTTGGAACAGTCAGATGGGCCGCAACAGTCTTGATTACTCATTTATTCCTGTTTCTATGTAACAGTTGTGCTTACACATAATAAATAAAGCATTGAGTTCTTTACATGGAAGAAAATTAGAAAGAAATCTCCCCAACCAAACTACTCATTCTAGGCTTTAGGGTATGTAACGGTTCATCGCTAACACATATTTTATGTTATCACTAGTAGCAGTGTGTGAGTCTGATAAACTACATTGAGGAGAAAAACAAGTGTAAAATAGTCTCTCAGTTAGAGAGATGAATCCTTATTTTCTGCAGTACCTGGGGCAACCACTTCCTGCCTTTCTCCTCTCAGTGACATTTACTGAGAGCTGTGGTCAGCCCAGAAAGCTACACTGAGTTGATTATTGCCAAACACGCTGGGCTCTGGCAACTGATACAGAACTATTCAACTCTAAGAAAGATATTTTGACTGGGGTTGGGAAGCTCAGAGGATTGACTTGATTCCAGCTCGGCTTTAGTGCAGTTCCCAGGCCAGTTCAAAGCGCAGGCATCCAATTAAACTCAACAGGACTATACTAGGATGCACACAGCTCCTCCCTTTAAATAGGTCACCAAGCAATCTAGGGCTGGCTGAAACCAATATACAGTACTACAGAAAAAGAAAGATTCCTCACAGCAAGAACATTTTTTTCCACACTATTTTCCGCTACGTCACCTGGAGTACACTTAACAAAAGAAGTACTCCCTTCTAGACTTTTCTTCCTATTTAAGCCTTAACAAAAAATGTTCTGGTTATAAAAACATAAATCTCAACAGGTGACCAAAAAAGTATTTTTACAAATATATTCAGTGTCACTGATGCAATAATTTATTAATAATGTTTGATTACCTGCATCCAATCATATTTCTTAAAATATAACTACACTTATTTGTTCAGGTATTTCAAATGTTAAACTTACAACACAACTAACTGAAGCATAACTGATTACCTTAAACACCTCCACTGGCAATGGAAAATTTTCAGCTTCAGACAGAACCTTTTCGAGGGCTTCTTTCCATTCAGCGTCACTTTTAAGAGCCTGAATCACTGCAATAAGAGCACACAAGAAGAATTTATAAACAAAAGAATATTGGTGTTCTTGCAAGACTTTCAAGAATGAGATTAAATCAAATGGGCCCCATTTATACTGCTGCATTAATGACTAGGAGTCCAAGAGTACTTGGACCCATCTGGCTCAGGAACTGGATGGCCGAGATTGCTATAGAGGAATATGAGACTTACAGCTCAGTTCCAAGGCCCCCTCTCCCCGCAGAATAATACGCACAGTATAAGAGTTTCCACTATAGCTCACCAACAATTTCCATCCCAGTCTCACAATGCCATTTCACACACCATTGTTGTATCCTTATTGTTGTCAGTTTCACTAGTGCCAAACTATGTCTAGCTTGTATTATAAAATATAATAATTCTTGCATTAGATATACTGCCTTTAATGTTGGAAGGGCATCTCAAAAGGCCTTGTGGGATAGGATATACTATAAATGCAGTGACTGTGCACTTTATAGGTGAACTGTGGATTTGCATCTAGTAAATATTTGATTGAAACTACCAAAACTCATTTCCTTTATGACCTTTAGGACTAGATTTTCATTTGAGGAGTCTGACTTGGACTCAAACCAAGTCCAGACCTCTCAAGTCTCTTGAATCGTAAGAGACACTCTAATTCTTGTGATGAAAGACAGGAGGAGGCAATTTTAAAATTAGAGCTCAAACAGTAAACAGGGAGAAATGAAATAAAGATTTTTTAAAAAAAACCTATATGCTATAACTGCTTTGCTAACTTATTCACCTAACTAAACAGATTTATGTCATGATTTTCATTGCTAGTATATATTTTTTATTTTCAGTATGAGGTGAAAAGAATGTGAACACAATTTCCATGGGCTTTATGTCACAAATGTTGGTAGAATCAGCATACAAGACTTCAAATGATTGTTGATGCATAGAAATTTGCTTTGCACAACATTTGCATTGTAATGGAATCGCTGTGGTTTGAATTACTGATGTGTTACACAATCTGCAGCATCTTCTTACAGCTTAATATGATCTCAAATTGTTAATAGGATCTCAAAAGAATTACTGATCAAAATCCATCAACTGTTTATCAGCTTTCAATTATGTAGCAAATTGCACTGCTAGTCACACAAAATAATTTTGAGGTGTGATTTATCACAATATTCTGGATCGAAAAAGCAAACACACAAGCAGTACACTATCTGTGCACAAATCCAGCTTTTTTTCCCCAGGATATATACCTGATAACAAGATGCTTGTTTAACTTTTCATTACCACTTAAGTAGTCATGTGCTGGCCACTTCCCACGCAAAATATTAATAAGGGACTCGGTTTTACTTGTCACTCCACATTATACGTAACTAGTCACATTCTAGAAATTCTTGTAAGCACTTACTTCGGATAACTCTTTCTATAAGATAGCATCTTGTATTGCAGAGGCCTCTCACCCTATCCTGTGATTGGTGCAGGTGCTAAACGGAGGTTAGGCGCACATACTTATATGTATCGCAGAGGCCTCTGGTTTACATTTTACAAAGGAGCTCACTTACTGTTCACCAATTCTGGGATACATACCTGCAGGAGGCTCGAGCTTGCAATGATTTTCCTGGCACCATCCTACTGGCCGGAGTCTGTAGTCCAGATAAAACAACCACTGGTCGTGCTTTCCATCATTCAATCCCTCGTAGCGCAAACATAATCTCCCGCCAACGTTCTCAATCACTCGCACAATCCAGTAACGAAAAGGGTTTTTCAAATCCTGAAGCTCAATTAAGGATTTTGGGGTAATGAGGTCCACTGCATTCTTCCCTCTTAGAGGCTATTCGAAATGAGAGGAATAAACACATAGGTTGTTATTTCTTCAAATTCTAATTGTCAAATTGTTATTTTCTAGAGCAGTACTCAAATCTTTTTGGAGATGAGTCCCAAACCTTTTCAAATCAGACCCTACCAAAATATTCTCCTAGTGTCCCAAATCCTGCATATCCCTCCTTTCCACCATCGGTGGCCGCGCTTTCAGCTACTACCCAAAACTCGCTAACACTTTTCCTTTATCCCTTTACCGTGCCCCTTTCTTCCCCATCTTCAGATTGCACCTGAAGAACTTCCTCTTTGACCATGCCTACGGTCACATCGACCCTCCCACCGGCTCAGCATCGTGCTCCGCCACTCTTAAGAACTCTGGGATGCTGCCCTGCTTGAGGGGCGCTATATAAATGCAAGTTGCTGTTATTGTTATCCTAGTAGCTATATATAGTTCATCGGCTTTTTGCGAATCAAAAACAAATAAGAGCAGCTGGTATCACACTAATTATTCCTTAAGCCACTTAAGTAGACAGTTTAGCAGATTTACTGATGTCATCACTGAGAATGATGTGTGTAGGGTGGGGAGGAAGAGAAAATAATTGATGCAGCCATCTCAAGTGAGCAGTGAAAATACACTGGTTCTTAAAAAATTATTTACTCGCATCAAAAAGGTAAAACACTAAAACAATTGATAATGGACAAACACGATAACAGGTGAATACACTTTCTGGCATGAAGGAAGAGGACTCTTAACATCACTTCAGCAACTATTATATTGCAAGTCGGCTATCCAGTTATGTTCAGGCTCAAAGTTTCTTGGACAAGATTTTCCCAGTTACTAGGGAAAACGCATCTTTCTTTCTGTCTCTCGCTCTCTCTCTCTCTCCCTCTGCCTTTTCATTTGTGCACATATGGGCAATTACTAACGACATGTGCACAAGTGTCAGCAAGAAACAAAACGCTGGCACAATCGTGACAGTGCAGTGACAGTAAAGCTCCTGATAGAACAATCTAAGATTGCACTGTAGCCAATTTCTATTTTACGTGATGTCCAATTATCCGCCCCGTTTACTTATCAGCAATATAGCCAGTCCAAATTAGTGCAGATAATTGGCTCTATTGGAGAAGAAATTCCAGCATCGGTTATGCCAATCGTAATGCTTTAAAAGGTTATTTACCTTTTTATAACTTGGGTGAGGTTTAGTGCTGTAGGTAGTGATAATACCTTGTGTGAGGGGCGCTATATAAATGCAAATTGTTGTTGTTTTGATGCAGACATAAATAACGTGGCTCACTTTTTGCATTGTAATTAGCTGAGCAACAACTGCCTTAAAATCCTGAAAGAAATACAGTTAAACATCTATTTGATTAACATTTGAAAAACTCACCCCTTCCAGGAGATTTGCAGGAGCTGTGCGTGCACCAGTCAAATCCTGAATAAGAAATTCAGTCCAGTCTGTGTATTTCTCACTAATCGCTGTGAAAATATGAACCAACTCGATTATTTTCTCCTCAATTGCCCCTTCTAAATCATTGTCAATTAATTAACTAGAGACATTTAAGTAGGCACAATGCAACATTAAAATTGTTGCAAGCAACCCAAGTATAATTGGAATACACATCCAGGTTTGACAGTATTCTTGTAACTGATCAATAACAATACAATTAATTTTAATGTGATTTTTAATCACAAAAACTCCAGCACGGTGATTTCACAATGGATTACAAAGTGCTCCCGTCACATTGATGAAACAATCAATTCATGGTGAAATAGTAAAAAGGCACTGTATAAATTCTATTACACACCTTAATGACTTGGAAATTTCAGAATAAACTACTGATTAAACTAGTGTATGCAACAATAAATCCTGGTTTGGCCAAATGCCAGTCAATTGATATAACAATAAATTTGTTCTAAGAAAATAGCATGATTAATTACCGTGTAAAATTTTACGAAAACTCCAGGTCATTTGCAATCAAGTTAAATCTACATAATATCAACACATTGAAAAGTTGTTGTTTTTTAAAAAAACGTTTATAAAGAAGTCAAAATCACTTCCAATTTCCAACGCAGCCAGCAACTGACCTAAGATCTATGATAGATGTATATTTATACAGAATAGTTTATATAGCTTGGGACATGACATGTGCAAGAGACTGCCAGAATGGTGAAAGGCGAATTGGATGGACCTTGGTTTTCTTTCGCCTAGCAACTTCTTATGAGAAATAGCAGGTTCATCAAATTGCTCATTGCAAAATGCTATCAAACAGTATCAGTCTAATACTGATAAAGGCATATCTCTCTATCTAAGTTCCCTACAAGCCATATTTAATATTGTGAAGATGATGAAAATAATTAATTTGAATCCATTACAACAAAGGACTTCCATTACGGTAATGCAATCAGGGTAGAAGCTATCAAATAAAATAAAGTACTCTCGATGTAGGTCAATAATTGAAGCTAAATTTTAAACAGGAGAAAATTAATTCCAACAAATTAGTGTCTCACTTTCATCGACAGATTTATTTATATTCTTATGAACTTACTGCACAGTCTTCCAGACCCTAAACATGATAAGGTGAAAACCAGGCAAAATTGGAAATGTTTTGCCACTGTTTCCTATAACTAGCTCAGAATTTGAAAAAGTGAAAAGTGGAAATTTATTATAATAATAATAATCCTTGCATTTGAGACGTTTCAAAGCGCTTCACAGAATACAAGTGAATTAACTGTATATTTTGTGGGCAAAATGCAGCAGCCAATTGCTCACAGCAGTATCCCACAAACAGTCATGGATTGAATGACCAAATTAGTATTTTTAAAAAAGGGATTATTACCCCTGGAAAAGCAATGTGCCAATCAACTAACAATCAGGTTCCTACTTACTGCTCGGTAAACAGAGGAGTGTGGAATACGGAAACTTGCCTAAGATTTCATCCTTTCCGGGAATCAAACCCGGGTCCTCTCTCTTGCGAGCGCTCAAACCAATCCACTGCAGGATTCCACATCTTATCCATAACTTGAAAGCTTTGTTTTAGTGTGTTATTACAGATATAAAACTAGTCCTGGTATCCTAAGTAGCTTGACAGCCCAGTGGATGAATTGAGAACTTCCAAAAAGAAAAATCCATTGAACCAGGTTTCTCATATATTAGTAGTAAAATAGTTCATTTAATCATAATAATCATAACAATTCTCCTGCCAAGACTAACAATGCCTTTGCTAATGATCTTTTTGAGCTGGTCATGAGGAAATGTGCTTGCAACTTCCAACATGTGTTTATCTGGGACAAGATTGCTGCTATCTTTAACTTTAATTTTGTAGAGATTTATACGTGGATGGAATTTAATTCAAACTTTACCATTTAAAATGTATGGGAGAAACACGACTAACAAAATTAAGGTTTTTTTAATATTAAAATGCAAAACAAAATAGAATAATAATCCTTGCATTGATTATAGCGCCTTATTACGTTTTCGAGATGCTTCAAAGCGCTTCACAGAATATACCGTAAAGTGAATTGAATGTATTTTGTGGGTGAAATGGTAATCGTCAACACTCATCAGATCTAACATCCCTCAACTGCACAAATTTCTTTCTGGTTATGAACCTCTTTTACAAGAATCATCTGTTAAAATTATGCCTCCGTTATGATCTATTTATGTGTTACTGACCCACTTCTGTTATCTTGATTTATCCAGTGAAGCTTAACACAGTCATCTGAAAATTCTATGACATACTGACTATGGTTCAAATTCTATTACTACTGCTACCAATAATTACTCATCTCTGAAATATTAAAAGACTATAGTGTCTTAAATATACTGTCTCCTTAGGCAAATCCTCAATACTGTATAACCTTTTATGTAAATTTAATGATTAAATTAATGATTTTAAATGGATTACACCCTCAATACATTTTGGCGTCAGGCTCCACTACTGTTAAAACGCTTCAAGATACGACCACGAGTGAAGGGTGCTAGATAAATGCAAGTTGTTGTCTCGACGATGTAATAATGCGCTGTATCAAATACAAGGATTATTATTGTTACGGATTAGCAAGAACCAAAACTTGAGGTCCTCTGGTGCTCTGCTGGAAGTAAAACCACACAGCTTGTTATTGGCAATCTTCCTATTGCTTGTCCAGCTCTATTAGTTTGCAGGGGTAACAGGAGACAAGCGGGAAGAACCTTTGTCCCCAGTCTATTCCTCCAAGTCCTACGAACAAGCTATGCCGGCTGGACAATCATAAACAGTGCCTTGTAGTTCTATGGACCTGCCCGACTCAAAAACTGAACTTCCGAGACCAGAGCAGATAATGTAATCAGTTACAATCTTCCTTTAACAGGTGTGTGATCTTGAAGCCAATTCAGGCCCCAAAAGATTCCAGTTTCCTTCCTCTCTTCCTCCTCCCAAGGATAATTAATCATTAGACTGAATCAAGCAGTGTAGATGAGCTACAGAAACTGGAGGACGGTAAAAAAGAAATTCCACTAGTCATTAAACCGAAGTCCTGTCTGCCTATACAGGTGGATAATAATAATCCTTGCATTTGATATAGCGCTTTTCACGTCGGGAGGACGTCCCAAAGCGGTTCACAGAACACGCTGTAAAGTGAATTGACTGTATATTTGTGGGCGAACCCGGCAGCCAATTGCGCACAGCAATGTCCCACAAACAGTCGTAGATTGAAAATGACCAATTTATTATTGTTTTGGGGTTTTTTTTGGAAGGATTATTTATGAGGCGTAGGGAGTAAGGAAACTTGCCCAAGGTTTCGCCCTCTGCCTGGAATTGAACTCGGGTCTCTCACTTGCAAAGCGAGTGCTCTAACCACTGAGCTACAGGACTCCACAAAGTCCTGCAGCTTTGGATACCAAAGATCCCATGCAATATTCGAAAGAGAAGGGAGCTTTCTTCTAGTGTCATGGCCAACCATCTCCCGAACAAAACTGGTTATTCACGATATGGCTGTTTGTGGTACACTGCTGTATGCAAATTAGCTGCACATTTCCTCTACAAAATATAGTCCCAATGCTCTACAATAAATTGCGTGAAGTATTTTGAGGATGCTTTTGACTGTGCACTCAGAAATTTTACTTAGTTGTGTTTGTGTGACAGTATGTGTTGCTTTACCCTCCCAAATTTTTGTTTTTAGCAGGGAAAAAGTAATAATTCGTTTTAAAAAAAAGATCATTTAGGCCAGTTTTAGCCCTAAGAAGATAGCAGAAGTGCTTCAAATTTTTAGCAATTTTACAAAACACTCATGAAAGACGTTTTCATTCTTCTTTAAGCTCATTAGTGTTTTATTCTTCTCAGATTCAGGTTTCAAATTATATTATAACAGTTCCTATAAGTTGGTTCAGCTAAAATTGCTCAAATCAAGAAATTGCTAGAAATTCTCAAACTAACATAAGTCAATTCAAGATTTTTTTTTCAACTGTCAGTTGAATTCAAATCAATTTTGAAAGAAAGTCAAAGTTCTTGAAACCAAGAGAATTTTTTTAAAAATAAAGACACCAAACATATTTTAGCTGTAAACAGTTCTAGAAAGCAAGTGCACACATCAACAAGGCTCAGAAGTATAGGCCAAAGGAAAAGATTTTAATAAAATAGGCCACAAATGATACTCTAACTCGCAATGAGTTTTGGGCATATTCTATTACGCATTTTCAACAGCTTTCTTGATGGTAAGCTACAACCTTCAGTTAGTGAAGATTTATCTTGCACAATGCTGTGGTAAACCTGACCCATCCAATTTTCAAACTTAACAGGCTTCTAGCAGGCCTGTGCTGCCTTGTCGGAGGTGCCATCATTCAGATGAGACATTAAACTAAAGTCCCGTCTGCCTGCTTAGATGGACGTAAAGATAACATGGGACTATTTGAAAAGAGAAGGGAATTTCTCCTGGTATCCTGACCAACAATCCCCAGATAAAAGTTGTCATTCACCTCACTGATGTCTGTGTGGGGCATTGGAGTATGCAAATTGGCGGTCGCCAATAAAATACTTCATTCCACTTTATAGTATATCCTATGAAGCGAGAATACACACAGCCCTATTTGTTCGGTTGAAACCAAAGTCCAACAACATATTTTGGGAGTGGAAAAGGGAAGTCAATTTACTATATGGATACACTATATTGCTAGAGTTTTTCAATGCTAGAATTCTGATGCAATACCAATCAAATAATAATTCAGTAAATCTTCAAATTTAAAATTCTACAATTTGTGGGAGGACTCAATATTCAAAATAATTGTCATCTGAAGAATTTACAATTTATCATTTTATCAATTCGGTTCTATGGTTTTGACATTGCCTCGATTTCATATTTTATTGTCCCCGGCTGCAAATCACATGATGTATTTGCCCAATAAACCTAACAAAAACCTCATTTCATTCAATTGCTTCATTACAGTTCAGAATTATAGCTAGTTTCAGCCATGTACTACATGAATGAGAAAAATAAATTAAACCCAATGTTCACAGCAAACATGTGTTCAGGATAAGCTATAAAATAAAAAGCCAATCTCACTGGTGAAAGAAAAAAAACACTATCTTTGAAAATAATGACAAATATAAATAACTGAGAAATAACCAATTCTGGTCATGTGTAATGCTTTGCATCTTTCACCTATTCATTTTCGATGAATAACATAGAAGGGCATTCAATGGAGATTTGCCATTCAATAGCAGAAGTAGCGATCATTGTAAATGATAATTCTGCACTCAAGACTCAGATTAGCCTACAAAGCACCACAATCCCAGTAATTGTGTCCCTTGCCATCAAATATCATTGCTGCCGTGCATTAATTGGACCAATGAAGTCCTATTAATTCATTATACAAATACTGGTGTTGAAGCCTAAATGACAGATCAAAACAGGAGATAATCTTAATTCATTTCAATGTTTAACAGTGCTGCACTGGACAACCAAACATTTTGCTAATTGACACACATATTGATAAAATGCTTGGCTTGAAAGATGTCAAACAGAACACTGATTAGTGTTGGCTGAAATAAGGAAAAGATAGAAAATTACCAACAAATTTCAGATTTTAGCACATATGGTCTGTTTCAAGAAGCAATGCACTTATCAGTGAATTATGGCCCATTACTATAAGTGGGAGACGATGAATGACAATCAAATGTCATGCACAGCTGGTCCACTCTATCTGCCTGACCCAGCTGGTATTTTGATAACGGGAAAACACTGCCACATGTTCAAATCTTTTTATAACTTTCATTTTTCTGCACAAGTGAAATAAATTAAGTGCCTATTACTCTAGGGAGGGTATTCTACCATTTCCAGTACTCGCTGTTCCTATTATTCTGTTGACTTAAGCACAGCCTACAGATGACCTCCGGCTCAAACCACCTCTTGAGCTTCTAGTGTTGTCACAACAGAAAATTAAATACAAAACAAGTATAATGAATAAATTATAAACTCAGTAGAATTTTATGCATCAGAGACCTAACTTACACTAAGACGCAGCATTTTTCTTCCGTGACCAGGGTACAAAAGTTGCCCTGTGACTGTTGGGATTGTTTTTCGCTCTTGTTAGCGATGTTTTGAGGCAGGTGAACCAACATAATATGGTGCCCATTGAAACCTTTTAGTAAGTTTAAGGCAAGATGCAAAACAAAAATGCTGTACTTATATTTAGTCATGTTTGATTACTGTAAATTAATGTCTAATTGTGTCCAACAATATTAATGATATAGACCAGGATCTCCAAACTATCATCTCTCAGGTGGCAAAAATAAACAAAATGTGAAGTATCAACCATTCAAAAAATGCAGGACGTCAAAATGTCTGAATGTAGGATCAAATATAATAATCCTTGCATTTGATACAGCGCCTTATCACGTCTTCAAGACGTCTCAAAGCGCTTCACAGAATACACTGTAAAGTGAATTGATTGTATATTTTGTGGTGTGGAGAAAAATGTAAGTTATTAAAGCCTGAGTCAAAAACTGAAAGGTCGAACTGTCCATTTTAGGGAGAAACTTTAGTCATATCTTTGAATACAAAATTAAAAATCAGTTTTATCTTACTGCACACAACCATAAACTTATTTTAAAAAGTGGTTCTAGCACTCACTTAATAAATGATCTTTAGGACTTTTGGGGTAGAGTGGTGCAGCATTTTGCTGCAACAAAATGCTGTGCCGAAGTGGATAGGACACAGGCTCACTGTTACGATTCCAACTATGTTGTGTTTCCAATCTTGGGCATGTTTCCAGGGAAGGTTGTGGAGCCAGGCATTTTCCTGCAGAAAGAGAAAAGGGAGGGGAAATAAAGAAAAGGAGGATGACTGAGACAGGGAATAAAGAAAAGGAGGTGATGCCCTAAATTTGATGCATTCTTGGACATACATTTGAAGCACGGCAGCCAATTGCGCACAACAGGATCCCACAAACAATCGTGGCTGAGTGACCAAATTATTATTATTATTTTTTTGAAGGAATTATTATCCCTGTAAAAGTGATCCACCAATCGACAAACAACCAAGTTCCTACTTGCTGCTAGATAAACAGAGGAGTGTGGAGTAAGGAAACTTCCAAACGTTTCTCGCTGCCCAGGAATCTAACCCAGGACCTCTCACTTGTGAGGTGAGTGCTCCAACCACTAAGCTACAGGACGCCACCTGGTAATGGCGGGGACATGAGCAAAAATCTTTAAAATGGTCAGTAGCATAACCCAAGCTTCTTGACTTAGAAAGTGAAAGCAGAACTAGAGGACGAGTTCCAAATCAACAAGTTTATACAGCAACGAGACAATAACAACAAAATTGTATAGCGCCTTTCATGTCGGGAGGACGTCCCAAGGCGGTGGACAATCAGAGTTTCGGACCTGAGCTGAGGGTTGAGATCAGGGAGGGTGGAGGGCAGGGGGAGGAAAGAGGGTGATCAAAAGCATGGTCGAAGAGGAGGGTCCTGAGATGGGTTCTTGAAGGAGGAAAGGGAGGGGACGAGGCAGAGGGACTGCGGGATGGAGTACCAGAGGGTGGGGGCAGAGTGGCAGAAGGCCTGTCCACCAATGGTGGGGTGAATGAAGCAGGCTGGAGCCCGCTGAGCGGAGGGTTCGGGCAGGATGGTAGGGGGTTAGGAGGTCATAGAGGTAGGTGGAGCAAGACCATGGAGGATTTTGAAGGTGAGGACCAGGATCTTGAACTGTATCCTCTGCGTGATGGGAAGCCAATGGAGTCGGTCGAGGATGGGGGTTTTAGTGTCACGGAGCCTTGTGAGGGAGAGGACACGGGCTGCAGAGTTCTGGATGATCTGCAGCCTACAGAGGAAGGAGTTGGTGAGGCTGACAAGCAAGGAGATTGCATAGTCAAGCCTTGATGTAATGAAAGTGTGTATGAGGGTTTCAGTGGCCTGCGGCGTGAGACAATGGTGGAGCCGGGCGATGCTGCAGAGGTGGGCGATGTTGCAAAGATGGAGGAAGGCAGAGTGTGGGTCATGGCACAGATGTAGGGTAAAAAGGATAGTTGAGGGTTAAACAAAACAATAAGATTCCAGTGCTTAGTGAGGTGGAGTGTGTATCCATGGATGGTGATGCTGTCAGTGCCTGAGGTATGGAGGCGCTGATGGGAGCCAATCAGGAGAGCCTCGGTCTTGTTGATATTCAATTGAAGAAAATTAACTCTCATCCAAGACTTGATGTCTGACAGACATTCTGTCAGGACAGCAGCGGTCCTGGAGTCAAGGGGGGAGGCAGAGAGGTACAGTTGGGTGTCATCTCATACATTTGGAAGTTGACCCCATGTCTGCGAACGATGTCACCAAGAGGGAGCATATAGATATGGAAGAGGAGGGGACCAAGGACAGAGCCCTGAGGAACGCTGCATGAGTCAATGCAGGGGAGATGTAGAGATGAAGGTGGTGTGAGATGTACGATCTGAACCAGTCATGGACAGAGCCGTGAAGGTTGAGGTGAGAGGAGAGGTGGTGGATGAGGATAGAGTGGTCGACGGTGGCGAAGGCAGGAGAAAGGTCAAGGAGGACGAGGAGGAAGAGGGAGCCCTGGTCGCAGATGGACAGAATGTCATTTGTCACTTTGACCAGGGCTGTTTCTGCAGACACTAGAATCTGCATAGAGAGAAAACATTTCACGCATTATAAATGTGCTGATGCTATCTGCTCTAATCTGCATTTTGTCCAATCACAAAAATATTTTCTGTAGAAAATACAGTACCAATATAAATCCCTTTAAATGCCTTAATGGATCAGAGTTCTACAGATTTGGTTAAAGAAGGTATTCCATATTCTAACAATCCTCCATGTGAAACAAATTTTTCTAACTTACTCCTTTTTTTCCCTCTCTGGTGATAATCTTAAATTGATATCCACTTGTTACTGTATCACTGAGTAGAAATAGTCTCTACTTCAGTAAAAATAATCTGAAAATATTCCCCCACCCCCACATCTTCTAAGTAAACCGGTAAACAGTTTCACACTTTCAAGTCTCTCCATACAACTACAGCCTCTCATATCTAATGTGAGTCTCTTGTGCGAATTCTCCATGGCTGTGTCTTTTCTATCTCAGGGTATTCCAAAATCATGCTAAACTGTCTTCCTACTCTTGTAATCATGTACATTAAAACAAAACTAAAATGAAAGAAAATGGTCTTGTGTGCCTGCGTTCCCACCTATAATGATTACGGTATACGCACTCTCAAATCCTCACCTAGATTTCAGACATTTTTCTGTTTGATCTTAAAAGTGTGCTACTTTGCTTTTCTCTACAATGAATTCTATATGCTATTTTTCTGCCCAATCTACTAAACTGCTGTATCATCCTGTAATCTTCCCCTTATCTCTACATCTTATTATGCAGTTTATGTTTATTTATAAACTGCATAATCTACAATTTATATTTATTTATGACCACTAATACTTGGATTACAATGTTCTAAACATAAGCTCCATAACTCAATCTTTTTGATTATGTACTTCATTAATGCATCTGAAATCACCAATGTCTAATCAATTTGCAATCAATCTGGCAAGGAAAGAATCTCCTTGCAATCAATCTTGCAAGGAAACAATATTCATAAATGTTTAAAAAAATATTGCAAAGAAAATCTGCCGTGTACAAATTGGATATTGTCAGTTTTTCTCTTTAAAAGATCCATTTGCTGTAACAAATCTGAAACAGTTGGAACTGAAAATAGTCAGATTTGTGATCTTCTCAGCAACAAGTTGTGGCTTCGTAACACACATTCTTGTTATAACCAATATCAATGATCTCTTATCCTTTCACTCTTATTTTATCCAATTTCCCCTCAACTGAAAACTTTTTTTTCTATAATCAGTCTTCTTTTCATTCATTTTCAATATGAATTTTGCTACTAAATACACAAAGAATGAGGGGTGGGGGCGGTAAAAATACCTCATCAGAGCAGACCTGCATGCCTGATGCAGCAGACAGAACAGAACTGAAGGAAGCACTTGAGTGGGTCCAACTAAGAATTTAGGAAAGTGAAAGCATCAGGGGTTCAGATTGCTAGTGTCTGGACATATGGCAATGCATTGAATTAATAATGTAATAATAATTCTTGCATTTGATATAGCGACTTATCACGTCGTTGATAAGCGCTTAAAGTACTTCACAGAGTGTATTGTAAAGTGGATTGACTGTATATTTTGTGGGCGAAGCACACAAGTCAATTGTGCACAGAAATGTCCCACAAACAGTTTCTTTTGGGGTTTTTTTTCCTGGCTTTCGCATGAAGAGTAAACTTATAAAGGCTTATTTTGTGCATTCATAAACACTTTAATGGTCCTTACAAATAGCACAAAGATTTTGGACTGAGACCCAAATAGTAAATCAAAAAGTTTTTTGATATAGCTTCAATTTGTAATTATTGTTTCCACTGTAACATATGGTGAATTACATTTAATAAAAAACAAACCTTATATTTGATATAGCATTTTCACTTTGTGAGGACATCTCAAAGCGCTTCAAAGGACTTAGTGTGAAGCTTCGTGACTATTTGTAGACAAACACCCAATATTGTTATTCTGCTGATAATTTTGGGAGACGAGCACTTTACAATCCCTGAGCAATTGCAACTCCCATGAATAATGATCTGTGTTGACATTCCCACTCAAGATCTGTGCTGACATCTCCATTCAACATTCAGGAACATTATACAAATTCTTGTGTTCTCAATGATTTTTACCACTTCTGGGTTTTTAGGTCAGTATCAAATATCAGTTTATACTGTAGTTATCCAAATGAAGAGGGCAATATTCAATTGGAATCCACATTACCATTTGTAAAGTTCACTTTACCATTACATAAAGCGTCAGCACTTTCTCTGAAATAAAATAATTCAAAATTAAAACTCACTACTTTTATTTTCAGCAGGTATGGTGGGTATTCTGGTGAGATCAAATAGGTTTAATGCATCTTGTGAATCACCAGAATGCAAGGGTGTAGAGAAAGTAAAGGAAGAAGTATGGGCAGGCTAATTTTTTATGAAAATTATAAAAATTATGCATATGGAGTTCCAAAAATTAAATGAGGTAAGTTAAAGATGGCTTGTGAAAATTAAATTTGGAAAGAACACTCAAAATGCTTGCAAAGCTTTGCATTAATTGCCAGCAAGCTGTACAACGGCTAACTGTCAGTAACATGATTTGTTCTGGTATTAAGTAAATGCCTAAAAATAAACTGATTTCTCCCCTTTTCTGAAAGCAGAACTTATGCTGCCATACACTTCCACAGGCAGCCCCACCACCGGAACCTTGTCTTAAGTATGGAACATCAGGCTACTTAGCGAGAGGGTATCTCAGCCAAACTTGTTCTCAGCTACCTTCACAGCCTTCAGCCACTCTGCCCCCACCCTTTGGAACTCCATCCCACAGTCCTTCTGCCTCTCCCCCTCCCTTGACTCCTTCAAGACCTGTCTCAAGACCTTCCTCTTTGATTGTGTCACTGGTCACACTCCTTCACCCCCTGCCCCCCAGTCCTCCCAACTGTACAAATGTAATTTTGTTGTTGTTGTTGTTGACACACATGCATTTTCCATTAAGGGTTAGTAGATAGTAATCGAAACCAGGAACCTGGGTTGATTGCTCCCCTCCGTACCTTAGAGGTCATTAAACCCAATTGCACTCACTACTCCTGCTGCCACTTCAGTGAAGATTAACTAACTTGCCAGAGACGTGAATTTGAACGTTCAGGTCTGCGTGACTTAATGCTGCACTTTCACCCATGAGGCCATCGAGGGAGCCACAAGTGAGTTTGTCTTCTTCCAATGCTGATCATTTCAGATCTGCAGCATTTGTGAATTTATTTTTCTTACTTAAATTGCTCTTTTCGGAGATCACTGCAGTTCTGCAGATTGTTGAATTCAATTAGTACCAGCTCTTAAATTACAATGAGTAATGGAATATGTCTGTACTTCCCTTAGAAGTTGCATAAAATTCTGTTACATTTGCTGAGTCACGAAAACAGTCAATACAATATTTCTCTCATTACAAATCATTCATTAAATTCTGCCCCCAAGCTAATGCTACCTCTCACTTTTTGCTATGATGCATCCCTTTCATGATGCCCCATGAAAAAGCAGACCAAATCTGTTTAGAAAAACTATTCTAGTGTTAAGGTGGTGTAGTCCTCCATGGTTTACTGCTACATCTATCTCTCTGTGGGAAACCCCATTCAATGACCTTAAAAATATTAATTCTGCTTTCCACTGAACTGTGCTTTGAGATGGTACAACAGCCACACTAACACTTGGCACCGGTGCTATAAAAGGGCAATTTTGCCCAACGTATACTAATCCTTGAACTTAATACGTTGGTGATGACAAAATTTGGCACAGAGCCTGCAGGAAACCGCTGAACCTCACTTCACTCTGCTGCATCACCTCCACAAAGACACAAACCACGATGTTTGGAGTTAGTCGGACTTGTTACACTGCAATAACTGGTGCCAAGGCAACACTCCAGCAAACTCATGACAATTTTGCTGGTATGAAATAACCCAAATCAGAAACGACAGTTTTAGCCACTAAGATTAATATTTAGGATTGTGAATTGTGGAAAATGCTTAAATTCATGATCAATCTGGAAGCTGGCTGTCCGTAGTTGTTTTAAGATTTTTCCACAGTTCTTCACAATCTTGAAATGTAAGTGTTATTGGCTAAGACCAGGTGAAATTGAGTCTGTTCTGACTTTTACCCAAACGAGGAGTACAACTGAACATGTACATGTTTAGCTTGACCCCATTATACTGCACCTCAATGTACATTTATAGCAGTACATTCCACCTTCGCATATATCACAGCAACCACTGGAAATGCTAAGATTAGCAGCCCGCTTTCTAGGCACTGCCCATATGCGATTTAGCGATATCAACAGCGAATCCTGCTAACCACCAACTGTTTATAATACTTTCTGATTTTATGGACCCAAACCACCGAGTTATAACTGGATCTCACAGTACATAGTTGAAGAGTGCTACTATTTGAAGCCAGCATTTGAAAAAAAACATTTGAAAAAAACGCATCACTTAACAATTTCATTCACTTGTGCTTGAAGTGTAATTTGGGCATTAAATGAAGGCTACAATCATACCCAAAACAAATGTACTGTATGTTCTATATATACACAAATACACTAGTTTATTTAAAGCCCTCCAATTTTAGATGTCATGATTCAAATCTTATTTTCTAGTTATAAATATAAAAGAACAAAACTTTTTTTTAAAGTATTTAGTCATCACATCTGACATTTCATCTAGTACCAAAATTTCTCTTTCAAAGCCCACATTCTAAGAAGCACTGCCAATGATCTAACTCTATTCAGAATCAGACCTGGATTCATTTTAATCAAAATAAATTCTAATCTGAAAGTTGGAAGAGCTCCAAAAATCAGATGGCAGATGCTGCTTTACTTGTCGGGGATAGGAGTAAAACAATTCAAATTTAAAACAAAATACAATAGGCACCACTATCTACTATCCATCCAGTCCAACCTGGCTGCTGAGGGACGGATGTCCTATTTGAGAAATGTCCGCGGGCTGCACAAGCAATATTTTTGTGTTTCCCTTCCAGAAACACAACATAATATTTACGGGTTATGGAAGGAGCGGGTGGGCCAGTTGAAATGGAGGCAGTGGGGATGGATGCAGCCCGTAGGCTGCCAGTTGGGCCACCTTGGTTTAACCAGTCAGCAGATCAGGAGGGCCTTTTATTTAATGGAAATGCCAGGAATAACACTAAGTAGAAATGTGTATATTATGTTCATTTAGAGTAAAACTGTTACTAAAGTAGAACTTAAGTATGAAATTAATTATTTTTTTCAAGTAATAAACTCCTAATAAACTTAATGTGTCATTACACCATACCTTCCGGAGGTTTTAGCTCTTTCTTGTTTTGCGAACACCACCCAACAGGATGCAAATCAGCAGTCATAACATCACACCAGAAATCTGCTCTCCGGTCATCTCCGTAGCCACTGTATCGCAAGAGTAAAAGCTGGCCGCATGTTGTGATGATAGTGGCTACCCAATAGGTGTCTGGGTGATTTTTATTAGCCACCTCCAACTTCATCCCTGGCTGAAAACTGCTCTGAAGACTGATCTCAACCTGAATAACAAGAAGACAACAATCAATCAAAGACAAGAAAATCACATTTTAATAAGTTTCTTTACTTTAATTCATAACCAATTTGCTGAACATTTTTCTGACAACTAGGCAGATATTAACTAATTCATTGATTTCAGTTATATACACAGAAAGGGTGGTGGAAGCAGATTTGATAATAGCTTTCAAAAGGAAATTGGATAGGTATTGAAAAGGAAAAATTGCAGGGCTACGGGATAAGAGTGGGGGAGTGGGACTGGTTGGTAGCTCTTTCAAAGAGCTGGCACGGGCACAAAGGGCCGAATGGCTTCCTTCTGCGCTGTAAGATTCTATGATTCTAAGAAATGCAGGACATTTTCAATTTTCGTCTACACAACTGCAAAAAAGTTTTAGTAAAACATTTTTGTTCTTTCCAAGTCTATATGGTAAGATACTTCCTCTTTCACTCATGCTCTTCTACCGCCAGTCATTTAGGTATTTATAATTTGACCTAAAAAGCAAGTTAAATTTGACCTGTTGCTGTCAAAAAAATACTGTTATTTTTACAGTTTGTCACAAAGTTGGTTAACCAATTTAAGGATTGTACATGAGTAATATTATCGATTCTAAGATATGTTTTAAAGCTATTTCTCTTCCATAAAAAAGGACTTTGTAAATGTAGGACAATATAAGCTCTGGACAATAGCAAATAGATTCAAGATAATTTTAAAAATAAAGTCCTCTTAATATAGCGCCCTTCATGGGGTAGTGTATTGGACTATTTATTACACTGCACATGTAAAATTATACTGGATTAACAAGTAATTCAAATCAAATAAAATATGTTAGTTATTTAGAACATAATATTACATTATATGTGGAATTATGACGGACTACATTTTTTATACTCAGCTTTCATATAGCAGACCAGCATTACAGAATTATTATTATAAGCACCCTTCAGTCTTTAAGGTTATTGGTACCCATTTAAATCAATAATACTATAAAACCTACAAATTTCTCCCGCTTCAGCTACTGTGGAACATCTTTGTCCAATATTTAATAACAGTGTGAATAAATCAGATAGGCAAACAACATCATAAAGTGATGGTTGCAAATCAGAAATTGTTTCACTAAGAACGATTTAGTGATTTAAAAATTCAATTGCAGAATTCATGATGCAATTTCATCATTAAAAAAGGAGGGAAATTCCAATCCAGAGGAAGTTCTGCTTTCCGATGTTTTGTTGGAAGTTTTGGGGTATTTTGTTCCAACCAGGAAATAGCCCGAAACCAAAAAAGCTGCGATTGCAAATCAGCAAAACACAGTTAACCCAATACCAGTGTGATCAAAAACTTGATAATGACATATTGTACAGATTCATAGTAAAAAAATTCCAGTCATCTTAAACCCCTAGAGACACATTAAAAGCAAAACCATACAACATGAAAGCCCTTTTCTGTTTATTTAAGAGATCAGATACATACATGTTTGAATGAGTTGTGTGGGGCAGGACTTGCACCCGTCTCTTCAAGGTATTCATCCCAATTGAAGTCGATTTCCTCAACCCCAGATCCAGCATCTGTTTAAACACAAAAAACAGGGTTGTTAATAATCAAAAGAGTTATTTTTGTTCTGGTAGGAGCTATAATAAAGTCTACTTCTAACACAATATTGCAATTTTGGAGGCCTGTTTAGCCGTTAGAGCACTTGCCTTGCAAGTGAGAGGACCTGGGTTTGATTCCGGTCAGGGCAAAACGTTGGGCAAGTTTCCTTACTCCACATGCCCGTTTACCTAGCAGTAAGTAGGAACCCATTTGTTAGTTGATTGCTTTTCCGGGGTTAATAATCCATTCAAAAAAATGAAGGAATAATAATAATTTGGTCACTCAATCCACGACTGTTTGTGGGATACTACTGTGCGACTGGCTGCTGCGTTTCGCCCACAAAATACAGTCAATTCACTTTACAGTATTCGGTGAAGCACTGTGAGGCGACTGAACAAAATAAAATTCAATATTCATTACCAGAAATTGCTCAAATATTGCTGTTGAACATCATCGAAAACACAATAAACACACCAATATTTAAAAGGAAATCAAAGGCAAAATATAACACGGTAGAATAATGACCCAAGGAGAATTCCAATTCGCATGGCATTTAATTAAAGGTTGTTTGTAACTCAATGTTCACTCTGCCACACGACTTCCCATTGACAATTTGGGGTGTCAGACAAAAAAACATCATGAGTTTGCTCAGGCAAGCTTTATCCCCAAGTCTTAATCCATCTAAACTCAACTCCCGCAGCTATTTTATTCAATGGCTTTCTGGGACAGAGGTTTTGCTGTAATTTTAAGCCTACCTATGAATTCTCATAACATGGATCCACCAGAGAAAAAAGTTCATTTATTTTCGTCAAGCTTTTTATAATTCCTAACAATTCGATCATACCATCCTCAGCCAGTTCCCAAACCATGACATAAGAATCTTTCCAATACCGGCGCATCAGTTTTTGACATCAATTTCCTGTGAAGAAATTCATGTACACAATATCTACTGTCTCTCCTCACCCTATGTAATACCTCTAATAAATATATTGTGTTATTTTCTCCTAATTTCCTTCGAACTATCAATTAATAAACCTTACATTTGACTTCTGGAAGATGTCTCAATTCATTGCAATCAATTTAAATTATTGAGGTCAGGCTCAATGGGTCTGTGCTTACCAAACGTAGTTCTGTCACCCTTCTTGAATATGGGAACCCCATTTGCCTGCTTCAAGTGACAATCTCCCCAGTAGTCAATAACTCTCTCAAAATGATTCTCTTAAAATAGCCATCAATATACTGTCAATTCACTTTACAGTATATTCTGTAAAGCGCTTTGAGGCGTCTTGAAGACGTGATAAGGTGCTTTATCAAATGCAAGGACTATTATTATCAATGCTTCAGAAATCCCTTCCTCGCTCCAAGTTATCTGGGTATAAAGTTCATCTGTCTTGAAAGGAGTGGAATTTTAATATTTTCAGCCCTTTGTGGCTATAGTATTATTATTGGCCTCTATTAAAAAGCTCCAAGAAGTTCAGTATGCCCGGTTCATGTTAAAAATCCATAACAATATTTGAAAAGACAAGGCGTTTCTCCCTGTGCCCTGGAAATCCACCTGATAAAAATTGTCAATCAGTTTGTGGTTTACTGGACAGTTGTGTACTAACTGGTTTCTGTATTCACCAACAAGAGTCACAGGACTTTATAATAAGTCCTGTGAAGTGCTTTACTAGACATGAAAGGCACCTTATTAAATGCAAGGGTTATTATTACTATTAACCACTATAACTCTTGCTCATTCTCATGTGGAGTCCTGTAGCTCAGTGGTTAGAGCACTCGCTTTGCAAGTGAGAGACCTGAATTCAATTCCAGGCAGAGGGCGAAACCTTGGGCAAGTTTCCTTACTCCACACAGAGCCTAATAATAATCCCTCCAAAACAAAACAATAATAAATTGGTCATTTCAATCTACGACTGTTTGTGGGACATTGCTGTGCGCAATTGGCTGCCGCGTTCGCCCACAAATATACAGTCAATTCACTTTACAGTGTGTTCTGTGAAGCGCTTTGGGATGTCCTCCCGACGTGAAAAGTGCTATATCAAATGCAAGGATTATTATTATTATTAACAACTTCCGATGTAAGGCTTTCTCCCTAACGACTCACTGTTATATTTAGGCTTCCCTAAATCAGTTTGTGAATCTGCTTCTATACTACATACTATTTTACCCAACTCAGCTGTTATTCCATCTACAAGCTTTATACATTTTCTTAATCCCACCTGCATTCATTAATGTCAAGAGTGCTGTATGTTTACTTTGCCGCTAATGCACTTAGGTATGTCCACTAATTCTCAAACCTAAAGTAACCCTCCCCCCACCCCCCCCTCCCCAGTGTGGCTGTTGTCATCAATTTAGAAAGCTCAGTGCTCAAACCCTGGTTTGGATAAGTGCCCAGGCTGTTTCCCCCAAGGAATTTTGAATTGATGTTCCAGCTGACCTACCTTACTTAATGTTTTGTTTGATAATTGTACATGCAATTCATATTTCAATGATATTGCACTGATGTTTTGTAGCAATTTAGCACTTAAAAAATGTACAATGATTTTTTGATATTTATATTATAACTTATGCTAATGCAACTTGATTTAATTTGAAATCTGTTTAAAATCCTGTGTTTTTAAAACAAACTTGTATTTTTGATTTAGATACCGCGCCATGTACATCATTTCTTTGTCCTGTCTCTCTTGACCATGATCTTTTGTCATTCAATTTTCACTGAAAACTTATTTGACCTCAGCTTTTGCAGAGGAACCTGATCCACTACTTGAGTTTCTGAAATTATTAATTTGTCTTTTTGTGCTCCTACCTTTATTTGCAAACAGGTGGCTTGAATTACTACTTATTATTTTAGAAATAACTAAATAAAGCACAATTTTTCATAAAAATAAATATTTACCACCACATTTGGCAAAGTTCTTTTCTAAATAATGCATCAATAGCATTGACAGGATTTGTCCAGTTTAAACAATGTCTATTGGAGCCATTGGTTTTATAAAACAATCTGTAATGGAACGTTATTGTATTCTTATAGATTTCAGGAAAAAATTCTAACTTATTATTTGATCGTGTTAAATCTGTGTATTTATGAATTTTTCCTAGTGTAAGAATTCTAAAGTCATTCTGAAAAATTTTCCTGATTTGAAGGTTCAATTCCTTTAGCTACCATTGATAATAATAATCCTTGCATTTGATATTGCATCTAATCACTTTGTTGTGACGTTTCAAAGTGCTTCTCAGAATATACTGTAAAGTTAATTGACTGTATATTTTTGAGGCAAAACATAGCAGCCAATTACCCACAGCAGGTTCTCACAAACAGTTGCGGACTGAGTGACCAAATTAATTTTGTTGTTTGGTTTTTTTGAAGGGATTTTTATCCTCGGAAAGTGATCCACCAATCTGCCAACCAGATTCCTACTTACTATTAAGTGAACAGAGTAACCATTAACTGACTTCATTGGAAGTGCATTCTAATTTTAATTTTGTATTAATTCAAAATGGCTGAAAAACGATGCAACATAGTCCAGATTTCTACCCCCAGATACATTTTGTCTTGTGAAACACAATAACAACAATTCAAAACAAATCCAGTTCGTGAGAAGCTGCCGTACGCACAAAAACGAGTTGCAACATTAATTTTTCTGAGTTGTTTCGTACCTCTGGCTAACTCGGCTTTTTCATTTTCCCATATAACTGAACACTAATTAATCTAATGAAGGCTCGATCAGATCAACAACGCCTGCTGCCGAGACCATCACTGTGGCATGCTATTGACAATCAAAATGCTCCACTTCATAAATCTTTCCGATTCATTTTATTCCCCCCAACCCCGCCTGCCCGCTTTTTGGAACTCCAGAGATTCAGGATTGTTAAAGGCAATTGAGGATAGATACCAGGATGTATTTCTTTACACAGAGATTATTCAACAGCTGGAACAGGTTACAAGGAAGGATAGTAAAAGTCATGATGTGGTAATCATTTAAGAAACAGCTTGATGTTCTAATGGAAGGGCAGTTCAATGAGTACTCTGGAAGGATTAGACAAAATCAAGTGAAGGCCTTTCTTAATCCTTATCCTTTGCAGTATTTACCTCTCCACCAATACTTTAAATGCACCATGGCATTTATCTTGGAATAACGGAACATTTATACATTTATGAATAAGAGAAATAGCATTGGCGCCCAACAAGCATCACAAGTTAGGATCTAACAATTTTATCAAATTAGAAAAATTAAAATGTATTGTATTACTTTGCAAATGTTTGATTTATCTGAACCATGAGTTGGAGTAATTGTCGGTAATGATATCTGCACACACATTCAAGCAAGCAGCACAGACTGTAAATATCTGACAACCGATCAATTGAAATCATGAATAAAAGATAGCATAAAAGTAAATGAAGTATAAAAATAAATCGAGCCCTGGTACATGATACAAACAGTTGAATACTGACATCTAAGCACTAAACCAAATTGAACCTGGCCACATAAAACAATCATAGTATCAACTTCTCAAAACATTTGCTATTTTGATTGCTTGAATTGTATGCTGCTGGTCTTAAAATAGCTGTTAATTCACATATTTTCAGGGCGGTAGCTTAAATTTCCTCCAGTGCCTTTTTCGATTCCATGCTTTGCTGTGGAGTTACAATTTTTTTGAAATATAAATTGCATGCTTCAAGTTAACAGGTCAAATCCCATTATTCACAGATGGCCGACCAATAATGTGATTGGTATATAAATAGCCCATATGTAACACTTTGAGTCGCATTACAGCTTAACGGAAGAAGAAAAAAAGGCAGTTGAAAATAAAATTTCCATTTGCTGAAAAAACAAAAACATAAAAACTTAATTATCCTTTTAACTGTCCAATACACAAATATTTGAAAACTAGGCCTAGAGTGTAATTTCATAGATTCTGTCATTGATAAAGGAGACTTCACTATTAAAAACATTATAGGATGTGGACAAATCAATCTGTAGTATGTGTTCAACTCTGATGAAATAAACTGTTTTTCCTACTGGATTAAAATCACTCATATGCACATCCACAAGGAATACTGTATATGCATTCCCTCTTTTTCCCATTAAAAAAAACTACTGAAGTGAGACTTCTCAAACGCTACAACACTTATTGGCGAACCACTTTCTTGTTTTCAAAGGCACGACACACTTGTACATTTGAGTTATTTACCTCTGAGAATTTTCCCAGTATGAACCTGAGTAGCTTTAATCTGCTCAATTTTAGGTCTCAGACAAAAACGTTACAAACAAAGTGATCTACCATGACAACGCCTTTAGCCAATTAACTTGCAATTTGAAGAATAATCCCTGGATAGTTTTAAAATCATTTAGAAATTTCCATTCATGAAATCAACACTTGGAATATGCCAGAATATAATGAAATGGTGAAAAGAAACGGTGGAGAGTTAAAGATTGCAGGATTAATTTTGTCTAATCCTTCCAGAGTACACATCCTACTATTCTTCCATTAGAACATCACCCCAGTTTTTAAAAATTTTGTAAAGAAAGAACTTGATACACAACCAGTTTATAAAATGGTGCACCCAGTTTTAAAATTGTACAAATATTCATGTTCAAGTGTTAAAGATTTGAACTTGGGAAATTTAATGTTGGCCTCAGTGTAATAATAATAATAATCCTTGCATTTGATATAGCGCTTTTCACGTCGGGAGGACGTCCCAAAGCGCTTCACAGAACACACTGTAAAGTGAATTGACTGTATATTTGTGGGCGAACGCGGCAGCCAATGGCGCACAGCAATGTCCCACAAACAGTCGTGGATTGAAAATGACCAATTTATATTGTTTTTGTTTTTTGGAGGGATTATTAGGCTCTATGTGGAGTAAGGAAACTTACCCAAGGTGTCGCCCTCTGCCTGGAATTGAACTCAGGTCTCTCACTTGCAAAGCGAGTGCTCTAACCACTGAGTTACAGAACTCCACACAAATATTGGTGAAAGCAAGCATGGAAAATAGGGAACGCAGGGAACTTGTGCAACAAAGGCAAAGTATGCCTTATTCTCCTTGGTGCTATTAACTTTTTTTTTGCCCAGTCAGTATTTCAAGTAGGTTCATTAAGGGCCAACTTTTTAAACTAATGTCATAATTACCCTGGTTTATTTACTTGCTGTCAGCATGTGGAGTACAATTTCTATATGGCCTATAATGTAGTGGACGAACTGGTAGCTGCAACAGTATGAGCAGTGAGTAGGAAAACATGGAATCATTTTACATTCGATTTATACATTTATTGCACCTTTCACATCAGAAGAATGTCTCAAAGCTCTTGACAGGATTTTACTGCAAACTGTAGTGAACAATTATAATTGTAAGAACATAAGAGAATTCTAGGAATGTTCAAATTTAGAGGAAGCTCAGCAGTTTCTCACTGCATTTTGCACAGCGGTGGGCTAATAGTCATGCCTGCAAGAGCACTACGGACCTACAAGTCAAGAATATCTTTCCCATGCACAACTGCAAACCAACACAATCAAACATTAACAGTGGCCCATTAGGCAATTGTACCACTCTGTAACTTGATGTCTCAGAACGCATTCAAAGGTTTCACCCACAAATATACAGTCAATTCACTTTACAGCATATTCTGTGAAGCGCTTTGAGACGTCAAGAAGACGTGAAAAGTGCTATATTAATTCAAGGATTATTATTATTATAATAAGGTGGTGCACGCCCATGGTGCTTTGCTTATGGTACTGTAGATACCAAATATATTTTCCCAATTCCTTCAAGGCACCATCTGCAAATATCAGAGGTACAAGTTTCAATCTCGACCATCATTTGTGGCCAATTATGGTTCTTCCTTCCTGTTGATCAGATGCAAAATAAGCTTATTCACATTAGCCTCGAAATAGAAAATCACTTGCAGGGCTGCTTGTGAGTATTAACAGCATGCCGAGAACAGGATGCAAAGCTAATGTGCGATCAGATCAATACACATGATGGGCTTTAGGACTGGTTTCTATGCTGGGTATTTTCAAACATGCTATACACACTAATACAGAGATCTTACCGGAGTCACACTGTTCTCCTTTTACATTGTCTGTACTTTGAGTCTTCTCCAAAAACAATGCTGGAGACTCTTGCATACTGGGAATCAACGGCTTTCTGTTCTCTGGTTCCAAGGTCAACACAGTCTGTGTTAAGCACTCCCCCATTTTCTCAGTTCATTCCACTCAAAATGGGTCTGGATAAGGAAAGAAAATTGAATAAAACATCGTTTTTAATTTTTTTAAATATTAACAAAATTTACATAGAAATAATACATAATATATAATATACAGTCAATTCACTTGACAGTATATTCTGTGAAGTGCTTTGAGACATCTCAAAAACACGATAAGACGCTAGATCAATGCAAGGGTTATTAAAACAAACCAGAAAAAAAAATTACACCTCAAATGAGTTCAACTGGGTAACTAGTTAAAGGCAAAAATCCTCACAAAAATAATCCGTTCAGCAAACTTTTGTTTTTGATTCACTTGTTCTGCATCTCCCTGAGAGGGCACTACCCATAGTGCCGTTACAACAATTATATTGTAAAATCATCCAAATCGATGTCGTCTCATGAATAAGGCAGAGATAACAACGTACCTATGCCACAACAATTTGCACTCTGAAGCATCTTTCATCCCCTGGTGATCGAAACAAACCTGGGACCTTCCTGATGTGCAAGACACAGATGCTCGCTAAGTAAACTCAACAAAGCATGAGGGAATCTGTACCAATTTGTAAAACTAACGTGTCTGAGCCCCTGACAAAAAATACCAATGCAGTGTATCAATGAACTGCTAAAATCAACACAGCATACAAATGACAGACTTCCAAGATTCAACCGCTGAGAATTGGCTGTTCCCGTTTGACAGAGACCTGCGACTGTTCAGAGCAAACATCGTCTGGGACGCGTATCTTTGATTGCTGCAACGCGTGTAAACAGAAGGATGCGGGAATGCGAACGGGAAGGCAACGTCAGGGAGGTGGAGATGGAATGGTGTTGCGGGGAGGCGGGAAATCTAAAAGAAAGGCAGGAAGGGAGGGAGAGAAGGGGAAAGTGAGCGATCGGAGTGGGGGGGGGGGAAAGAAACGAAGGGAAGGCGGGGAAGACGAGTGAATGGAGAGTGCGCTCCGTTTTAAGCGCTCCGAGACGCTACCCCCCCCGAGTGGAGGGTGCGCTTGTTGTTGAACGGGAAGAGGGAGAGGAGGGAGAGAAAGATTCAAGGAAGGTGGAGAGAGAGAGAGAGAGAGAGAGAGAGTGACCGAGGAAGGAGGGATTAGAAAGAGTGAAGAGGATGGGAGGGGTTGAGAGGGGGAGTGGGGGGAGCGAAGAGAGAGAAAGGGAGGGAGGGAATGAAGGAGGAAGATGGAGGGTGTGAAGGGAGAGAGAACGAAGGAAGGTGGGGAGGGAGGGAAAGAGGGGAGGGGAGAGGGAGGCAGTGAAGAGAAAGGAGGAGATGGAGTGAAGGAGAGGGAGTGAAGGAGAGAAGGGAAGGTGTAAAGGGAGGGAGTGAAGGAGAGGGAGTGAAGGTGTAAAGAGGGAGGGAGTGAAGGAGAGGGAGTGAGGGAGTGAAGGAGAGAAGGGAAGGTGTAAAGGGAGGGAGTGAAGGAGAGGGAGTGATGGAGAGGGAGTGAAGGAGAGGGAGTGAAGGAGAGAAGGGAAGGTGTAAAGGGAGGGAGAGAGGGAGTAAAGGAGGGGGAGTGAAGGAGGGGGAGTGATGGAGGGGGAGTGATGGAGGGGGGGGGAGGGGGAGTGATGGAGGGGAGAGGAGGGGGAGTGATGGAGGGGGGAGGAGGGGGAGTGATGGAGGGGAGAGGAGGGGGAGTGATGGAGGGGGAGTGATGGAGGGGCAGTGGTGGAGGGGGAGTGGTGGAGGGGGAGTGAAGGAGGGGGAGTGATGGAGGGGGAGTGATGGAGGGAGGAGTGAAGGAGGAGGAGTGATGGAGGGGGAGTGGTGGAGGGGGAGTGATGGAGGGGGAGTGAAGGAGAGGGAGTGATGGAGGAGGGACCACAGAGACCGCGTTTCATCCATCGGGACGTTTCGCACCTTCCCCTTCTCCGCTCTCTCTCTCTCTCTCTCTGCTCGAGTTTTTCTCTTTTTTCGCCCCACACACACACACACAAAAATATTAAAAGATGAAGCGTTTTTCGATTAAATCACTCGAATAAAAATATAAAACGGCGTCGGCGACATCGGCGAAGACGTCGTCGTCGCCGCCTTCGCCTTCGCCGCCGCCCTCACGCGCTCCGCGCCTTTTCCCAACGGTTAAACTAACCGTCAAACGGCGGCCCGCCCTCCCCGACGTCATGACGCACGACGCGCCAGCGAGCGTCATGACGCAAAGCGTGGGACGCACGTGCTCTCACCTGGAAAGGAGGGGGTGGGGGGGGGGGGGGGGAGGATGAGGTGGGTGGGTGGAGGGGGGAGGGGGTGGGGGAGGATGAGGTGGGTGGGTGGAGGGGGCGGGCGAAGAGGGGGCGGGCGGGGAGGCTGGAAGGGAGAGGTGGGCGGTGGGAGGGGGCAGGTGGGAGCCTTGGGGGTTGCAGGTGGGGAGGCTGGAGGGGTGGGCGGGGAGGCTGGAGGGGGCGGGCGGGCGGCTGGAGGGGGCGGGAGGGGTGGGCAGGTGGGGAGGCTGGAGGGGGCGGGCGGGGCGGCTGGAGGGGTGGGCAGGTGGGGAGGCTGGAGGGGTGGGCAGGTGGGAGGCTGGAGGGGGCGGGTGGGGCGGCTGGAGGGGTGGGCAGGTGGGGAGGCTGGAGGGGTGGGCAGGTGGGGAGGCTGGAGGGGGCGGGTGGGGAGGCTGGAGGGGTGGGCGGGCGGGGAGGCTGGAGGGGTGGGCGGGCGGGGAGGCTGGAGGGGTGGGCGGGCGGGGAGGCTGGAGGGGTGGGCGGGTGGGGAGGCTGGAGGGGGGGGCAGGCGGGGAGGCTGGAGGGGGGGCAGGCGGGGAGGCTGGAGGGGTGGGCGGGTGGGGAGGCTGGAGGGGTGGGCGGGTGGGGAGGCTGGAGGGGTGGGCGGGCGGGGAGGCTGGAGGGGGCGGGCGGGGAGGCTGGAGGGGGCGGGCGGGAGGCTGGAGGGGCGGGCGGGGAGGCTGGAGGGGCGGGCGGGGAGGCTGGAGGGTGGGCGGGTGCGGAGGCTGGAGGGGTGGGCGGGTGGGGAGGCTGGAGGGGGCGGGCGGGGAGGCTGGAGGGTGGGCGGGCGGGGAGGCTGGAGGGGTGGGCGGGTGGGGAGGCTAGAGGGGTGGGCGGGTGGGGAGGCTAGAGGGGTGGGCGGGGAGGCTGGAGGGGTGGGCGGGTGGGGAGGCTGGAGGGTGGGCGGGTGGGGAGGCTGGAGGGGTGGGCGGGTGGGGAGGCTGGAGGGGTGGGCGGGTGGAGAGGCTGGAGGGGTGGGCGGGTGGAGAGGCTGGAGGGGTGGGCGGGTGGGGAGGCTGGAGGGTGGGCAGGTGGGGAGGCTGGAGGGGCGGGTGGGGAGGCTGGAGGGGTGGGCGGGTGGGGAGGCTGGAGGGGTGGGCGGGCGGGGAGGCTGGAGGGGTGGGCGGCGGGGAGGTTGGAGGGGTGGGCAGGTGGGGAGGCTGGAGGGGTGAGCAGGCGGGGCGGCTGGAGGGTGGGCAGGTGGGGAGGCTGGAGGGGTGGGCAGGCGGGGAGGCTGGAGGGTGGGCAGGTGGGGCGGTGGAGGGTGGGCAGGTGGGGAGGCTGGAGGGTGGGCAGGTGGGGAGGCTGGAGGGGTGGGCAGGTGGGGAGGCTGGAGGGGTGGGCGGGGCGGCTGGAGGGGTGGGCAGGTGGGGAGGCTGGAGGGGTGGGCGGGTAACACTGGTAGAGCCTGACCAACCCCGATCCGGAGAGAGAGAGAGGGTGGGAGGTGACCGTAGACACAGTCGATAATAATCCCTCAGGAAAGAAAAAAACCCCAATAATAAATCGGGTCACTTCGATCCACGGCTGTTTGCGGGGTCAGACGCTGCTGTGCGCGATTGGCTGCCGCCTTCCGCCCACAAAATACACAGTCGATTCACTTTACAGCATATTCTGCGAAGCGCTTTGAGACGTCTCGAAGACGTGGAAAGCGCTGTATCAAACGCAAGGATTATTATTTATTGCACGCGCCACCAGCGCACCTATAGAGACCCTTGTACATGAAGAGAGTGAGTGTGTGTGTGTATATGTATGTGCAATAAAACGAATAATAGTGTGCCAGTCGCTTTGGTACGCAATGCCTCTACGTGGATTGGTTCCCACCTCTCTTTCATGTCGATTTCCTTGCACGGTTCATTCATTCACCGTTCATTCATTCATTCATTCATTCCATTCATTCGCTCCGCTACTTGTTGGCCACTTGCTCACAGCCATTGAAATGAACGGGCATTGGCGGGTTGTGGCCTCTGACAGTGGAGAGGCTACTTTGGGCTATTAAAGAAAGGCGCATACTTCATGCGGAAAAAAAGGGCACTGGAAACTGGCCAAACTCTCCCTCATTTCTGCACTTTTATTATTTATACTAATAAAAGCATGAGTCGCACGCTTCATCAATAATGCAAGGCTTATTATAACTGATACTGCCGAGGCTACACACTGAACTTATGTATTAATCATAGCGTCGCTGATCCATCCTATCGATTTTTAATTCTCTTTTTTTCTTCTTCTCGAGTAAACATTGCACCCGTAAACACATGCACCCGAATGCTGGACAGTTGTCATTGTTGTTGTACAACACACCGTCGCAATTCAACCAGTGTTGTTGTTTTTTTGTGTGTGTGTGTGTGTGTGTGTGTGTGTGTGTGGTGGTTTGGTTTATCAATCAATTACCGTCGAGAGAGACAGAGAGAGAGAGAAAAAAAGGGACATATTATAACTCTGGCAGCGACACAAGAACACAAAAGCGTTCAAGTTCCATTTCCAAACACACACACACACACAGTTGTCAAAACAGGACAATTCTCCGGCATAAACTTCAGCCTATAAACGCTATCTGCTGATGTGGCTCGTTAAAACTATCAAATACATCACGTATTCTTGCCCTAGCTGTCAATCACCACTATATATATATATATATTACAACTAACAGCGTACAGAAACTTGCTGGGGTTTTCATGCAACTCTCCATCAATTTGGAGATTGCATCACCAATGGTTAACATCTTCCACCCCAAAGAAACACAAAGGTTAAAAACCCGAACGATTCACTCCAGCAAGGGTCCAATC